ATAGTTTGACAATTACTTGGTCATGCAGTAGTGTACCCAAATACATTTTATTTGATACAGACCTTTCTTCTGTTGGCACTTAGAAACCATTAGTTTATTTTTTTTAATAAAAAAAAAAAAAAAAGCATTTTTTGAAACCCTAAAGTACTACCTAAACTTGTTTAGGTAGAAAGCTTAGAACATAACCTAGGGAAATCAATAAAACCCTAATACTTTTCTGGCTGCAGTGATCCATTACAACTATTAGTACCCAATTCGGACGATCATTTGCAGCAGTTTCGGTATTACCAGCAAAAACAAATCCAGGTCGTTCTAACTATCACCACTTTAGGAGGTACACCCGTACACTGGATGGGAGGAGTATATGAAAAGACAAAGAGGGCACACAAGCCTAGTGCATTATCTTTAAAAATCAGATTTATTGGGCTCTGAGGAAGCCATCAACTATCCAGGAGGTCTACCGTCCCCCACCAGACTACCTTCAAGGGTCTTGGACCACACTGCATCTCGTGACATACTTTCCATTTGAATTTCTCTTGTGAGCATTTTAATTTTTATCAATAAATCTCATTTTAAAAAAGGTAATGCATATACAGTTCTCTTTGGATTTCCCTGGTCTGTTGAGGGCAGCAAGGCTTGCCGTCCTTTCATACACACGTGGGGATATTGACATTGTGGAGCCCATTGTCCAGCACAGGAGCTCAGGCATTCCGTTGCTTTTTTTCTTCCTACTGGATGGGAGGAGCCTGATGGGAGAACTAAAAAGACTACATCCTCTGCAGGACCGCTTTAATTTTGGATTGACAGTGCATGGCAGTGGAAGCGTTCAAAATCAGCTATTGGACTGAGTTGTGGCTATGGATTTGCCCACTGCCATGCACTGTCACTCAACAGCAAGGCAGTTTTGATGAGGAACTGGTCTCAGTTCTCGATCAGGCCCAGTCCACCCCTACTACAAAAAAAAAAAAAAAAAAAAAAACGCAGCTGTGTGCTAGTCGTTGTTCCAGGCACAGAGGCCGGGGAAAACAACTGTTTTCAACAATTATTTGCCCTATTCATGTGCAATGATGTCCAAAAAAAAAAAAGGCAGGTCAGGCAGACATGGTGTGAATTAGCCCGCGTAAGTTATATACACGACACATTTACAAAGTGGACCTGTCACTCATTTACATTGCAAAGCAGACTTCTAATCAAAATATAATTTAACCAGCTAAGCATCAGACTTTTTTTTTTAAATTTCAGCTTGACAGCTTCCACTTTATAAATATAGTGGAGTCCGGTAGAATGGATAAACTGGGAAGCAGAAGATCCACTTACTGCTGTAGTAGGCGAACTGCAGGTAGTTGAATTGCGACGGGAGGAAATCTTCTATGGGCTTCTCTCTGCCGGGCTGTACTGCCAGTTCAGAGACACAAGCTTGTCTGCAGTTCATCACCTGCACATAATGATCTGCAACACAACATGTAACATTAAATATTAAAAAGTCAAGACTAGAGGTGGAAGACACAAATGCAACATTTGTAATTATAATGTAAAATGTTTTATTGCAAGAGTACATGAATTGGCTTCTTTCAATGCCCTGCATAGCAGAGCTTAGAAGGGACAGGGAGGGGCAAGCACTAGGAGCCAAACAACATTGCACATGTGCCATCAAGGAGTATGCGGAAGGAGGAGTGGAGCTGGCCAGTATGCCGCTTCTTTTACGGTCACAGGCTCTGGAAATGTATTTCATCTGTGAATTTTACGGATTGTCTGGAGCTCATTTCTAACTTAATTTCCGACTTCAATACTTTTGAGTTAGAAATATATCAGTAAGCGGAAAAAAAAAACGCTATTGTAGGCATTTCCACACTATGTTACTCCCAAAGTTACCTTCTCACCCCAAAAAATTGGGGGGGGGGGGGGGGGGGGATTGGGTGGGGACAACACCAGAACACATCAAAAACATGTATGCAGAAAAGCATCAAGAACACCAAAATCATGGTGTAAAATCAGCACTTTGACTATTTAGCTGAAGATATCCAACAGTAAATAAATTGGCACGCTCTTAAAGAACATAATAGATGGATATATGGAAACTATCCGCGCTTGCAAACTGATTTAAGAGGATTATTTAGAGAACAAAAAACTGAACATTATAAGCAAGTGGAGCAACAATACATCAGAACCTCCAATTAAAATAGTGTAATAAATGTTATTAATGGCTGCATTGTATGTGGGTTATTGTCAAGAAAAGCCAAGCAGGCTTAGGAGGATTAACCCACAGCCAGGGGGAATCTAGGTAAATAGGAGCAGCGTGAAAATTCACACATTTGAAGCACCATACAGACCATAGAATGTGGAACTGAAATAAGTTAAAGGAACAGTCCAACAAGGGTTGTTTAGTTGTAATTTAAAGCAGAAGTCTAGGCAAAAACAACATCTAGAATAAATATGTGAAAAGAGACATTTTTAAACCTACCACATGAAAAAAAAAACCCCCATACAAAAAACTCACCTAGTTGGATGTAGCATCAAAGTTACACCGATCCAATGCTGCATCTGTCTCCCATCGACTCTATGCCAACAACCAAATGATCAAAGACCGCTGATCGCTCAGTTTTTTGGTCTGCTCTGAGCACAGAGAGGTGACTGTTGGTCACTGGCTCTCTTCTCTGACCATCCAGCGCTCACAGGAGCACCGGATTTTGGGGAGGTGGCTGGTCCAGGCTCTCAGCTGAGAGACAGCCAGCTGCCGGTCAGGCATCTGGGTGGATCCAGACACTGTTTGGATCCCTGCAGAGCCTGGGCCAGCTCTGTGACATCAGCCGACTTTAACACGCTGCTGGCTGAATCTGATTCACATGAGTGCAGAACGAAGCTCAATCCATACTAGCATGTCCATGTAAACCCCACATAATGGCTAGTATGGATTGAGCTGTGTGAACGGCACGTGTCGGGAAAGAGCGGCTACAAAGCGCATCCACATCGCTCACAGCTTACAAGAAGAGAAAGCCACAGCACTGCTGCCCATAGTTCTGGCTGTATTGTTTTTATTCTCATGTGAGATATACAGTTGTGTTCAAAATAATAGCAGTGTGTTGAAAAAAGTGAATAAAGCTCAAAATCCTTCTAATAGCTTTTATTTCCATACACACAAATGCATTGGGAACACTACACATTCTATTCCAAATCAGAACATGAAAGAAAAATATATCAAATTTGTGTTGTTCCTCTAAAAAATTTAAGAAAAGTGAATATTAGACTGTTCAAAAAAAATAGCAATGTTTGTATTCTTCTTTACAAACTCAAACATTCACTATATAAACTGAGAAATGTTTGAAGATTTTACTTTCCTTTGAATCACTTAATATTAGTTGTATAAGCACTGTTTCTGAGAACTGCTGTACATCTGTGTTGCATGGAGTCAACCAAACTTCTGGCCCCTGTGAACAGGTATTCCAGCCCAGGATGATTGGACGACATTCCACAGTTCTTCTCTATTTCTTGGTTTTGCCTCAGAAACTGCATTTTTGATGTCACCCCACAAGTTTTCTATTGGATTAAGATCCGGGGATTGGGCTGGCCACTCCATAACGTCAATCTTGTTGGTCTGGAACCAAGATGTTGCACATTTACTGGTGTGTTTGGGGTCGTTGTCTTGTTGGAACCCCCATTTCAAGGGCATTTCCTCTTCAGCATAAGGCAGCATGACCTCTTCAAGTATTCTGATGTATTCAAACTGATCCATGATCCCTGGTATGCGATAAATAGGCCCAACACCGTAGTATGAGAAACATCCCCATATCATGATGCTTGCACCACCATGCTTCACAGTCTTCACAGTGTACGGTGGCTTGAATTCAGTGTTTGGGGGTCGTCTGACAAACTGTCTCTGGCCACTAGACCCAAAAAGAACAATCTTACTTTCATCAGTCCACAAAATGTTGCGCCATTTCTCTTTAGGCCAGTCAATGTGCTCTTTGGCAAATTGTAACCTCTTCAGCACATGTCTTTTTTTTCAACAGTGGGACTTTGCGGGGGCTTCTTGCAGATAGCTTGGCTTCACATAGGCATCTTCTAATTGTAACAGTACTCACACGTAACTTTAGACCTTCTTTGATCTTCCTGGAGCCGATTGTTGGCTGAGTCCGCGCCATTTTGGCTATTCTAACCATTCGAATGGTAGTTTTTCACTTTCTTCCACGTCTTTCAGGTTTTGGTTGCCATTTTAAAGCATTTGCGATTATTTTAGCTGAGCAGCCTATCATTTTCTGCACTTCTTTATATGTTTTCCCCTCTCCAATTGACTTTTTAATCAAGGTACGCTGTTCTTCTGAACAATGTCTGGAACGACCCATTTTCCTCAGAATTTCAGAGAGAAATGCACTGTAACCAGCATGTACAACATTTGCTGCCTTCCTTCCTTAAATAAGGGCAATAATTGCCACCTGTTTTTCAAAGAATGAATGACCTCGCTAATAGAACTCCACACTGCTATTATTTTGAATCAGCAGCATGCATGTCATAACTATTGGATTTCTATTACTCTACTACAGCCGCTAGTAAATTATTTGCCATGTAGAAATATAATTTCTACCAAAAACAGTGATTGATCAGGTTTTTGTTTGTTTTTTTTAGTACACAAAAATGATTTGCCTTTCATTTCTGTTATTGGTTATGAATGGGTTGTTTCAAAAGGCGAGGGTTTACATACACTTTAATGCTTATTGGAACAGTATAATATATGCTTTTTAGTTTCGACTGGCATATGCCGATGTAATTGCCCCTTGTGAGGTTTAGTGGTGGGTGAGAGCTTACTGCATTTGCTTGCTGCTTATATTTGATAGAAGATCATCGCCATTTACTAAACTGGCCTCTGAACCTCCCATTTGGATTTTTTTTATGAAATGAGCAATGCATACTGTATTTTCCTGTATATTGCAAAACGTTTAAAACATTTAAAAAAATAAATATAGACGATATAGTCTGTCCATACCAGTAATACTCTGGAATAAGTCTGCATTGTAATCCATATAATTGTAACCTTCATAGTCATAGGGTCCTTCGCAAAGACTGCGACATTCAAGGTCTGCAAAAAAATATTCCTCCATGGCCTTTTCAAAGTGGACAATGGAAATGGCATACTCCTCATCTGTGTAATAGCCAACTCCTTTGCGGAACTCTTGCTGCAGACAAAAAAAAAACAATACATTGGTTATATACCTGTCAGGTCACAAGTAACAAAATGAACACCATGGGGAGGTAGACAATAAGGAATTCAAGTCTACTTTTTGTCAGCAAAAACACAGTAGGCCAATAACTAGATTAGTCTACAGCAAAAGAACATGCCAAGAATACATTTTTTTTATCCACGGCATTAAAACCTGGCCTGGTCACACATCCCAAAGCAACTGGCTCCAAACTGCAATTATGAGATATTCTAAGGCAGGGGTAGGCAAACTTCAGCCGTCCAGCTGTTGTGGAACTACAGGTCCCATGAGCCACTGCAAGAGATTGACAGCCACAAGCAATACTCCCAGAGGCATGATGGAACTTGTGGTTCCACAATACTTGGAGGGTCGAAGCTGGTCTACCCCTGTAAGACTCTAGACTCCCACCTTCAGGTTCATTACTGGTTTAGATGTACCCTGCAGTCAAGGTTATAGGATTCTTCTGCCTATCAGCTAGCAAAGTTCTTGGTAAAAACAGACGTAGGCAGGCCACTGCAACTCCATGATCAATGATGAGGTACAGTTGGCACTGCTGTATAATAAGTGGTAATATGAACAGGACACTTGTCTTTTGAACATCAATGCATATGGAGGGATTAAAGAATTGCAGTGAACATTTAGAGAAAAGGAAAAGAAAAAAAACAAACCCAACAAAGACCAAATTCAAGCAGCTCTGTATTCAATGGAAGCAAAGCCAGGACTGGATGCCCATCTCAGGTGTGCTGCATGAAAATCAGTTACAGAATATGCTGACAGTTGGAGGTAACAGTAAGGCTAGCCATACATAGATCATTTTCTTCACAATCCGCCAGTAAGCTGATCAAAAAACACAAAAAAAAACCCAAAACAGATTCCCCATCCACTCAAGTGAAGTGGATGGAGAAATCCTCCCTGCTGCACCATTGTATTCTGACAGTGGGAGTCCTCTGCTGTCAGAATACACTGATCAGTGCTACAACCCATTGGCTGCAGGAAGTTTTCCAATAGTCCCGTTCGAGAGCATGAATGGTCATAGATGGATCGAAATTTATCTGGTTCCTGGTGAACTGGCCAAATTTCAATCCATCTATGGTCAGCTTGAGTGGAGGATCAATCTCGCTGAGAAAAGCCAGAGTGCACTCCAAGCCTCACTTTAGCGGGCTGTACGTGACGTCATGTGGGACCTGGAAGTGACGGGATCACGCTTCTACATACATTTCACCTGGCGGTGTCTTCAGGAAGTCTCAGCGAGATTGATGTTTATGTATTGGCTGCACAGACTGGTGTCGGGATCTAGGCATCTGAATATGTGAGTGCATTTTTAATCATCATTTGAACCATGGTTCTTATAAATATTACACTTAGAACAATTTTATGATAATTTGTTTTATTTGAGCTTTTTGGAGAGGCATTATTAGGAGAGCTTGGAGATTCAATGGATGAGAGCCTACAGTTGGGAATGCACATACCATTTGACTACCTAGCGTTATTTAACCACCCTAGTGGAGGTCAACACCCATTGGAGAGTGGGAAATCTATTACTCACGAGTGGCCATGAAATAGTTTTTGATTCAATTGTTCAATTACTTTTGGTCCCTTGAAAAAAAAAGGAGGGGGGGGGGGGTGACTACTCTTAAGAGCTGTAATTCCTAAACCTTTCCTCTAATTTGGATGTACATACCCTCAAATTAAACCTGAGAGTGTACTTTTAGCCCATATCCATGATATAACTATAGTTTGAATATGTTTTGGTCAATACCTGAAAAAAAAAACTAAAATTGTGACTGTGTCCAAATATATATGGACCCAACTGTATGAGATACCTTTCTATGGGACTCTCATCCATCCCAAAGTTCTTTGGACTTTATTATACCCTGTATTAGATTACGATTCACATGGCATTGGGAAAGCACTTGAAATGCATATGTGTATCTATTCTCATGTTAGTCTATTGAGCAAGCACCTACCTATATATGGTTTATTACACGGAGCTTTAACCTTGCACAGCTGAAGTGCCTGCTTCCTTTTTCACAGTATATGGCAGACAAAGCAAAAAAATAAGTAAAACTCTGCAGAAGATCATGTTAAACCAACAGATCTATGTTACGGTAGTAAAGTAAAAGAGGCAGATACCCCCTTATGAATGATTGATGCGAGGAGGATCGAGACCTGTGAGAGGATTCACCATCTAGATGGAAAAATTAGCTATCTGACCTATTGTAAATTTATGGGTTAACTTAAGGAGGTGAAGGTCCATTTATTTATTTTAATCAGATAATTTTTATTAGAAAACAAACAGTTTCCATATATATTTGAATTTCTCTCTTACAACTCACGAAAGAAAAACAAAACTGAAGGAAAAGAAGAATTAAATTGAACAAGACTTGTGTAGGTTCATCACGCATGACGGCCTTTTCCATATAACAATATACAATTAAAAAATTATAGAAACGATGACAAATTTAAAAACTTAAACACAGATAGAGGAGGGAAGAGAGAAGAAAAAAACAAAAGCACAACAACCACCCTTTACTAATCCGCCAGCCCCACTGCCACCATGACCCTCATCCCTGAATATATGCAAGAAGAGAGACCACAAACTAAGAAGTCAGTTATACTGTAATGGGCAAACAAGCCAAGGTTTACATTGACCATCCAGATCAAGGACACCACACGCACCCTCAATGAGGACTGAATTTACGCCTATACCTGTATAAATCTGATGAGTACTGTAGTATCATCCCCAGCAGTCTGGGCACCAAGTATACTTCACCAATACACAGTCGTAGCACACTTCAGATCAGAAATGAAAGTAGGCCTCCACTCAAAAGTCTGAGTTTGGCCAGGTGAGCAGGTGCAAGGCCTGGAGTACTCAGCCAAGCCTCCCAAAGTTTAATGAATATACCTGCACTCCCCCTATGTTGAAAGACCAATTTCTCCCGATGTAACATGTCATTGACAGCTTTAACCCAGCCCAATTTGGAGGGTGGGGTTTGGAGATAGTCAATTTTGAGCTTTGAGTTTCCTAGCCACAAATAAGAGGCGAGAAATAGCAGTATACATATGGGGATCACAATTCTGATGGTCCATTTAGAATAATCACCAGTATGGCGGTGGTGCACTTCTAGTTATAAGGTTTACAGCACCGGGAACATGTGCTCAACTCACCCATCAACAGGAAAACTGCTACAGGAGCATAAACTATAAGTGGAAGAGACTTTAAGGGGCTGATTTGTGTTGATTTTATTTTTGTTGGTTGACAACGAAGCATTTAACACTTTTCAGCACTATATATCTTTTTTTTCCCTTGGCAATGTAGTATTTGTTGGAGTAGTGAAACACTGTACATCCTTTTTGGTTGTTTGTGAAGAACACACAAATTGGTGGTTTGCAGTATTAGTGGCAGTGCACAATTTATATTCTAGGTTTCATACATTTGTCTATAGGAATAGCCCCGTCAGAACAGCCGGCACATAATGCAGCCACTGACATGGAAACAACGTGTTCTCATGTTCTGAGAAGCTGGGGTATGGAATGGCAAACCAAACCCATTGAGGTGCAAACATCACTAATCCCACCTCTGCATTCTTGTGACCCACATGGGGCCCAGCCTATTTACACTCACCATATGAGGCTTGGCTTCCAAGTCTTTGAAGTCGGATTCTGACACCCCCTCCATCATCTTGTAATACTCCAAGTTCTGCCGCATCTCCATGTGATCGGGGTTCCCTACGTAAAAGGTGTGTGCTGCCGCCACGGCCTTGTCTAGTTTGTGGATCTGAAAAATACAACATACAAAAGATTTGGATCCGTCATTTCCAAGGAGAACACAGAACTCCAAAGAGCCAATGAGCTGCATCCACTGTACATGTATTCTGACAGCCGCAAGTGCCCACTGTCAGAATACAAAAGCAGGAGATTTGTCCATTCACAGTGCTGACATGGATGAAGGAATAAAGAGTCTTCTCTTGTTCTGCCCATGTATATGACCAACACACAGAACAAGCACATGCATTCTGGAGGTAGAATAATGCAGCAGCATACGTTTTGGAGTTGCTTGGGTTGCCAATTGAAATTACTAGAACTGCAACACATCAATGTATAGGAGCCACATTCCATACTGCAGCACCATTTATTGTGAATTAATATACACACACACACATATATACACACCATATATATATACATATATACACATATACATACATACATACATACATAATATACACACACACACACACACACACACATACATATATATATATACATATACACACATACATATATATATACACATATACATATATACATATACACACACACACACACACACGTAAAGTGCTGTGTAAACTGATGGCGCTATACAAGTACCCGTAATAAATAAAATAGGTAGGAGATTCCCCCTCTCTATTCATCCGGATGACCATTATTGCTGGGACAGAAAGTTTGGAAACCCCAAACGTTAATTTGTCAAAGAACAAGAGGCAAGGGCAATTTTCCACTTGTGGTTGGGGGGAGAATACGTAGTTGAGCTGCAATTTTCCCCCAGCAAAAAAAAAACAAAAAAAAAAAAAAACCACACTCACAGTTTGACTCCATTCACACGTGGCTGCTCTAAAAACACAAACAGAATCGCTCTTTTCTGCCGACGTTTTCAGAAACATGGCAAATCGTGTAACGTGATTGTGGCACTATGCTTTCTTAAAGGATAAGTTGCCCTTTTGTAACATGTTACACCCACATTCAGGATGTATCATGTTACTGATGGAGAAGCCACCTCACCCCTATTGTGACAGTGAGCCAGGGATCCTATCCCCACACCCACTGTCATAATTTCACAAAACTCCGTCTGTGAGGGGCTCCACCCACCCAGCCGTGTCATTTATTCACAGAATTCTAAATGGAAGCACTACAAATACAGACAACCTCTGCGGATGTTGGCATGTAAATCGCAAGAGTAAGCACTAGGTAATTCATTGATGCTTCCAGTTATTGTGTAACTGCCTGCATGTAAGAGGTACAAGCAGACAGATACACTGACAGTCTGCAGGAGCCTGAGATTGCACCTGTGGTCCGCCAATTGTGGGTGCAATGCTTTGCAGACTCCTTGTTAAAAAATAAATAAATAAATGCACTTTTTTTTTTCTTACCAAAAAAGGCGATTTTATCCTGTTATGGCACCCAAAATGCAGTGTGATTTTGCTGCATTTCTGATGGGATAACTGCAGCTAAACGCTCCACACCCCAAAAATGTACATGAGCTTTGTTGTGTTTGTAGCACATAGGCAGCCAATTCAAGTGTATGAGCTGCCCTATGTGTTACTCACAAAACAGAAGCCAAAATCCCAAGAAACACCAGGAACGTGTGTTCCCATTACGCAAAGTGAAAACAAGGCCTTTGAATTTCCTTTGTTCAAGAATAAAAAAAAAAAAATTTCCATCCTGCTCCTTCAAATTTTCTCATTACTACAAAAAAAAAAAGAGCATCATTCAAAAAAGGAACTAAACATCAGAAAATCGGACAAAAGTTCCGAAAGTGAACACGTCAAAGTAACTTCTACTGGTATGTGTCCAACTGTAATGTTAAGCAGGGATTGCTTTTCAGAAGCTTTTGACAAGCAATATGTTGCCTTCTTACTGTCTGACTCTAAAGCCCACACCACTGCATGGGGCTAAAGGGTGGTTCACTCAAATGGGCTGCATTCGGCAGCAGTGCTTTTTGCTGAATGTGATGGGGTACAACTTTTGCCCCAGCTGCAGTATGTACACAAACCCAGCCCTGCCTTTACAGTTTAAGAGAATATGTCTCATGGAGGGGGGGGGGGGAGAACTTGAGGATTACCACCTATTTTACCCCCCCACTCCAACCACAAGTGAAGACAAGCCCTAAGCAAGCCATATGCTAGTAGACATAGGAACATTTGTACAAAAATTCTTATCAATACATTCAAATGTCGCTTGAAGTACTCAAAATTCAATTGTTTTTGACATTTATTTGAAGTGAATGGACTTTACCGAACGAAAATCATATTCATGAGAAAATTTCTCCATCCTGCTCCCTTGAATTTTGTCACCACGGTTAAAAACAAACATCGATTTGCCCCCACGAATAATTAGCAAATTTAAATAGTCTTGGGGAAGGGGCACTACCAGTGAATATCTACTAGTACATGGCAGGCCTTTGGCTAGATGCACACCTATGAAGGCTGTGTTCGATTCATTTTTCCAGTGTGGTTTGCATTTTTTTTTTTTTTTTTTTACGCATGTTTGATGTTTTGAATGCGTTTTGCATTTTTGGGATACGTTAATATTGCTTGCGGGAGGTTTCTGTTATGCAGGAAAACACAAAAAATGCATGCATTGTTCATGCATTTCCATTGAAATCTATGGCACCACAGAGTGAAGGGGCTTTGACGTCATGACGCTCGATGGTACCATACTGACACCAGCTGGTACACATAGGATTTTCACCACTGCCAAAAACTCAGGAGGGTATAATTTTTTGCACAAAGCGATCTTTACAAAAATATAAAATGTTATCCAAGGATAATACACTATGACCTGATTATTTTTTTTATACTAACCATCGTGGGAGGAAAGCCAATTGATGAAATGAAAAGGATCCCATCCAGCAGGACACCATCCCATCCACATTTGGTCCAATTAAAGGGATATAATATGACCTCACTTAATACATTTGAAGTGAGAGAACAACCGGCGGGGGTGCACAGATTTTGCTAAGAAGCACAGAATATTAAATGCCGAGTGATCACGAATGTTTGAAGAAGCATAGATGGACATTTTTGTGTTATGCCTATGGACGCTGATTTCCACAGTGGATGTTCACAGCACTCGTTTTTAATATCTTTTATTGCACTTATTGAGCACAGTGGCTAAATGGTTAGCACTTCCGCCTGGCAGTACTGGGGTCATTGGTTTGAATCCCAGCCACGGCACCACCTGCCTGGAGTTTGCATGTTCTCCCTGTGCCTGCGTGGGTTTCCTCTGGGTACTCCGGTTTCCTCCCACACTCCAAAGACATGCTGGTAGGTTAATTGGATCCAGTCCAATGTGTATGAATGTAAGTTAGGGACCTTAGATTGTACACCCCTTGAGGGTTAGGGACTGATGTGGCTGTTCTATATATATATATATATATATATATATATATTCATAATATATATATATATAAAGCGCTGCATAAATTGATATATATATATATGTAAAGCGCTATATAAGTACCTGAAATAAATAAATTGATTGACCCTAGGTTCGCATCTGTGTGAATGGTGCCACTGCAGATCCGCACAAAAATCCACCCGCACAGAGAAATGCAGACCCGCGGGCGGGTGCCATTAGTTCTAATGGCACGCCGCCCGCATTGGAAAACACAACCGTACTGGGAACAGAGGTTCCTGTGTGGGCTGCGTTTTCCAAAGAAGTGCAGGGACTTCTTCCCTGCGCGTCATGTGCATGGGAGTCCATTCAAATGAATGGGCTCTCTTGCCTGTGCGTGCAAAACGTGGCCCCCGCACGGCTGCATATATGTGAACCGGGGGAAAAGGGAGCACATGCATATATAGGTGGTATACAGCATTTGTGAATATCATTTAAAAGTGGAGCGCAGCACATTTTGGCATTTATCACTGATTAAACACACTGGTATGAGTGTTAGGTGCAGGCGATACACTCATTAGCAATTGTATTTTGCCAAGATTTTTTAGCAGCTCACAAGTTTTGATTTTATATTAACACTACATGCTGCTGCCAAAGTCCCTGACCCTTTCCAAAAAAAAAAAAAAAAAACGCACCAGTTGAAAACGCACAGATGTGATTGTCACCCATAGAAAATCATGTTAAAGGGATGGAAGTGTGTTTCTGCCAAACTGAAAAAACATTGCAAATCGAATAGATGTGAAACTGGCTTAGGTCGGAAGTTCTTATCTGCACACTTGTTCTAGGTCAGGGGCTCAAAAGTCCCAAACGCCGGGGGTCAACACAGCAGTCAGGCAACTGGCATTTGCAGAAAGAGCACTGAGCAATGACAGCATTTATTAATCTCTAGGAAAAGGAATCCTTTCAGCCTGAACATTCAGAGCTCTGTATAATCCTGCGTGTGATCGGCTTGCTTTATATTGGATCTGCTCATGGTTCACGTCTATAGAAAGGTCTTTGTAAAGAATATTCCCGGAGACCGGGCTGTATAAAGTCATACAAACTTCACACGACTCCAAGTGTCAGACGCATGGAGCCAATCCACAATGAGGATAATCTATATCCAGCGACAGGCACATAGGGAATGCGGAGAGTCTGAAGTCAGATCTTGCTGGAGTGAGACATTCCTGGGAGAAGTGACGGAGGATTTCCCCACCTCACTACGTGGCAGTGCACAGAATGGGGGGAGGGAAGTCTGAAGATGCAGCCAGCGTCCTCTCTTCTGGAACCAGGAACACCAATCACAGCTGTCTGACCTCCGCACACCTGGACCATCATCGAGACGGACAAGGAGCATATCCATGGCAAGCTGCGACTTCTAGTCCCCCTAGAACTGGCCAATCACAGATCCGCTGCACTGAACACTTTCCATTCAGCAGGCAAAGCACATCATTAGAGTAACGAGTGTGCAGAGCACATGCTTGCTGTCAGGTTAGTGGTCACAAAGATCTGATCGATTCTTCACAGAATCCAACAATGTGATTGAATCTATGATCATGGAGAGGACACACTGTGCCATCAATTTCTGCAAACTCAATTATTCTGAACAGCTTGAATGAGAAAAAAGTAAATAAATAATAATCAAATAATGTGAGGATGCTGCATTGAACGATTTTGTTTGATCTGATTATATTTTCTCCTAAACCGTAAACTGATCCACCATATGACTGTACATAAAATCGCTCTGTATATGGCCTGCACTAAGGTCACAACTGGCCAGCAGAACTACGGCTCCCCTGGATTCCCTGGGACCTGTAGTCAGGGCTGCTGGGGCCCCGTACAGCCAACATGACAGGGCCCCCAAATAAACACAGTTCACTAGGCTTCAGATATGATTGAACACAGTGAGTGATCGGTACCAATCACTCATTGTGATCATTCAGGAAAGGAAGGGGCTGGTAAATGTGACATATTTACGGACCCTTCCCCCACTCTTCATCCTAAGGATCCTATAGTGTGTTTGCAGCGGGGAAGGGGTGGAGGGCTTAGGCAGCAGAAATGTATGGTGCACTGGAAGGTGCTGCAGAGAGAACCATACAGGGGATCAGTTCCAGTAATTGCCCTCCCCCCCCACTGCGCCTGCCCACATCCGATTCACCCAGCTGCCTGGGCCCCGTACAGAAGGACCAATGGTACCCCCTTATCCACAGCCCTGCCAGTAGTCCCATATTAGCTGCACAGTGATCAGCTGCCAATCTACCCCGTGAGCTGTGATTGCTGGGAGTTGTAGTTGATAGACAATGGATCACACTGGATGGCAGGTTAAACCACACAAAATCCTTTTTCAGCTTGTCTGCCATCATGCCACACTGGGTACAGTCTGAATCCTTTTTTTTTTTTTTATTAATCTGTTACAAAGTTTCTTCCGGAGGTCCTGCCAAGCCACCACTTCACCATGATGAGCAGGGCTGTCAGCCTGCTGGATGTCCTTCAGCTGCCTGTTGGTTCCACTACCCCAGATTCACACCTAAGCATTTTCCGCAGCGATCTGCAGAAACGCAGTACAGTCCATTGAACATAATTTCCTATGGGACACGTTTACATCTCTGCGTTTTGTTTTTTTTAAAGAGTCAGGGACTTTTTTTTAATGCAAAAAGTTGTGTTTTTGGTTCTATAGATGTCAATGAAAATGCTGCAGAAAAGGTAGTGCGTTTTTGCTGCGTTTAAATCTGTCCAGCAACAAGAAAAAAAAAAAAAGCAGCCAAAAAGGCAAAACACAATGCAGAAATTGGTCAAATGCAAACTTCATAGGTGTGAACCTAGCCTTAGATAGGAAGCGGTTCACAGGGAGGACTGACAACACTACTGCCAACTGTGAGGCTGTAGGCTTGGTGTTGTCAGAGTACTGGGCCTGGCAGGATCCCCAAGGAAGACATTTTGAAATTGGTTAAAAATAAAAGGACTTCAAACTAAACTAAAAGTCCTCCTTTGCAGTGGGGCTGCATCGGCACTACAAGGGTTCACCACTCATTTAGAGGGGATTGGGAAAAGCAGTTTTACTTACCTGATCCTCTGTCCCTGCACGCTTCCTCCATGCGGTTACATCGATCCCTGCAGCCTCTTCTCCCCCATGCACCAGCATTCAGATGCCTCTGACATCAAGTCCAATACAGGGACCATAGCCCTTCACTGGCCATGAGCATGTTGAGAGGCAGCACTGGCGGAGAGCAGAGGAGTACTGCCTGCCAGGGGAGAAGAGGATCAGAAAAGTAAAGGTGCTCTTAGGCCCATTTCACAATGATCAGTTTTTCTTCCAGGTTTACCTGCCCAAAAGTGGAAGAAAAATGCATGAACATTACATCCTATAGAGCTCTTCACACCAGTCCATTGCGTTTATAAAAGTCCTGCATGATGCATTTTTGGTGCGATTAAAAAAAAAAAATAAAAAAAAAACGCACCTCCCGATTGAAATAAATGGAAAAATGCATCAAATATACACCCATGGCTACCAATTTGGTGGGGTTTTTTTTTCAAAATGTACAGGTGTTGTCACAATGGAGCAATGTGAAAGCAGCCTTAGCCTGGATTCACACGGATGCGGTGCAGAATTCTCAGCGTTTTCTGTGCAGTTCCGCACTGCATCACAATCGCAACCTGTTCATGAGAACCGCTGCAGGTGTGTATGTTAACACCCTGAAATCGGGCCACAAAATGCGGTGCGACGTGCAGAATCGGAATTCATGGACGCGACTACTCATGCGATCCGATTCCAGTGCGGACCAAAAAAAGGGTCCTGCACCTTTTTAGTGAGAATGCGGTGTCATTTGAGCCATATAAAATGTAAGGCTCAAATCGCACCACACAGAATTTGCATTTGATTTGCACAGGAATACGGATTGGTTCCTGTACAGGGGCAGACTGACAACTCATGGGGCCCCCGGCAATAGGGGATTATGGGGCCCCCGTGTCCTTGCCCAAACTCAAAAAAAGTCTATGAAAAAGGTACCAGGGGCATCTCATGAGGCCCCCTACTGACGTCGGGCCCTCAGGCAGTGCCGAGTTTCCAAATGGTCAGTCCCCCCTGTTCCTGTACAAATCACATGCGATATACCACACGGCACAAGTGTGAACCCGGGCTCACTGTCCCCGAACCCGGCAGACAGGCCTTGCTGTGCAAGGTAGGACTATTATTTCTTCCAGAGTTCCATCTCAGGGCTGGTTCATATTAGAAGCCGTGCGTTTTTGCACATTCCCGTGCGTTGCGGTTTTGACAATTTATTCAATGAATGCCAAAAGCACAAAACGCAGTACAGGCACCACATGAACACCCCGGTCACATCAAGACCGACTTTGAAATCATGAAACTTACAGTGAAGTCGAACGATTTCAAAGTCAGGTGAGATGACGATTTCAGGTGCGATTTGTAAGACATCTGACACAGATGTGTATATAAATCGCACCAATAGTAATGCATGTACTACTTTAGAAATCGGTGCGGCTCCAACCAAGTCAGAACCGCACCAGTATGACCCCTGTAATTGCAGACAATAGCGTGCAACTGGCAAGTCGCATGGCATGCAAAGTCACACCTGATATGACGGAGTGTAAATGCGTTGTTTGTTCGATGTGCTTCGGGTGCCATTACTAAACCATAGCAGCAGGGCACATCCAGCATGGGCAGCGCATTTGTGTGCGGTGCAGGAAACGCACCTTTCCCACTCCGTGTTCTGGAGTGAATGGGCCCCCCAAGGAGAACTTCTCCCTCATCCCCCGGGGATCACATCGGTCTTAACCCCTTCTCACCTGGTCCACTGGGTTGAGCTATAATAGCCCGCCTCCAGCGCTACCATCCACCAAAAACCAACGCACTCCGGACCCGCCATCTTTGTTGGCACCATCTGCGGGCAGCAGTCTCTTCCCAGGTCTAACTGCCCTCATGATGCTACACAGCCATCCAATGTACCCCAAGCCCCCCCCCCCCCGGACATGTGATGTGGGGGCCCCTGGAGGATACAAACGCAGGGTGCCATTCCAGGCAAGAAAGGTCCTACAGTAAAAGGGTGTCCCCTACATTTGGGGAGGATGGGAGGAGCACTGGAACATAAAGATGTAAAGAGTGAAGGTGAACTTTAAAAGGCATAATGAAAGTCCTGCTGAGAACCAGAGGCTGTCTATTCATGGGCAGTGAGCATGCAGAGTGACGGTGGTAGGGGCCCGGGGCCCCTGGTGGGCGGTACCTTGAAGTAGGCCACCTGGAGGTAGTTGTAGGGACTCCTCTTGCTGAAACTCCAGCTCCAGCTCCTCTCCGATGCCAAAGCGCACAGCCGGGGCTCCCATCCGCTCCTCCTCACAGCGCCGCACACAGGCCGCCCGCTCCAGCACCATGTGGAAGAAGCTCAGGTCCTGCACGGCCCCCGACTCCCGGGGCACAGCGGACGGGTCCCCGGAGGAGGAGCACTGCAGGCGGCAGCCGATGCGGTGTCGGCGGACCAACTCCCGGTTGCGCAGCGCCTTCTCCATGTTGAGGATGACGGAGGGCCAGTCGGAGCGATAGTACGCCTCCACCCCGTTATCGTACAGGAAGTCATAGGGCTCCAGGAGGGCGGCCAGCGGACCCGCCAGCAGGAGAACCAGAGCCCCGGACAGCAGCGCACAGGACGCCATCATTGCACTGCCAGCACACACACATTGACACGCCCCCGCATACACCACGCCCACAATGCATTCTTTCCAGGCCGACTAGACCCGCCTACAGGCTTTATAATGACACGCCCCTTCATACACCATACATTCTTTCCCCTTCATGTGTCTCGCCCACGGCCTCTTTAATGACACGCCCTACGCGCATAAACACGCCCACAGCTCCAAAGCGCTAGGCCAGTCCACGCTGCTACTAATTATCTAACCACGCCCCCTCCATAACCACTCCTACCTTGTATTTTTTTCCCGCAGCCTCGTCCCGCCCCCGGGCTCTACAGTGACACGCCCTACGCGTATAAACACGCTCACAGCTCCCCAACTCTAGGATAGTTCACACTGCTACTGATTATCTAACCACACCCCCTCATAACCACCCCCCATTCTGCATTCTTTCCCAGCAACCCTGACCCGCCCACGGGCTCTACGACACGCCCTACGCGTATAAACACGCCCGCAGCTCCAAAGCTCTCTAGGCTAGTCCACGCGGCTACTAATTATCTAACCACGCCCCCTCCACATCCACCCTGCATTCTTTCCATGCAATCCTGACCCGCCCCCGGGCTCTACAATGACACGCCCTACTCGTATAAACACGCCCACAACTCAAAGGCTTGCTCACTCTGCCACTAATTATCTAACCACGCCCTCTGCCTTCTAATGATAGTTCTTACAGTAGCTGGAGTCAGTGCCAATCAGTGTTCTGACGGTCCTGTGTGCCGTTAAAGTGACAGTACACCCAAAATACACAGCGCAGCTTTCTCAAAGCGGAGTTCCACTGTACTGTGCACTGTAAAAACAGCCACTCCCCTGTCCCATGATCCCGCGGTGTGTCCCCCGCAGCCAGTTTCACCAGGAATCTGGAGTTCCAGGCACTGGCATTTTCAGTGTGGGCACCCGGCTGTTACAACGTGCGGCTTCCTGAATGGCCCCATCGTCTTCTGGGACCTATCATGTGTCCCACAAATCTACGGGGAAGGGAGGGTAGGAGGACAAGTTCCACTTCCAATCACCTAGGCGATCACAGCACAAGTGGGTCAGTTTCAGGTACCCGCTCCCCAAAGGTGCCAATCCTTAACGGGGAGCAGGGGACCAATCTTTAAAGTGGAACTTCCCCTTTTGGGTGGAACTCCGCTTTAACCACTTCAACTAGGCTTTTCTTATAACCCCTTCCTGCCCAGGCCAATTTTCAGCTTTCAACGCTGTCGCACTTTGAATGACAATTGCGCGGTCATGCAACATATGACACTTTTATCATGTTTCTTTTCACACAAATAGAGCTTTCTTTGGGTGGTATTTAATCACCACTGAGTTTTTTACTTTTTTGCTAAGTAAAAAAAAAAACCTGAAACTTTTTTAGAACCCCTGTCAGTTTATATTGCTGTCTGTGCCCCCGTTCGGGAGATTCATCCTCTCTATGTGTCCTGTTTACCGTTATCATTGAAAGTAAAAGAAACCCAAATTTTAGGTTAGAAAAGTAACAGGCGAAGTCTTCCAATGGGGACACTAGTTCTAATGACCTGAGGGCCCCAAGGGCTTCCCTTAACTTTCAATGCATTTGCGAACGCAGGTCACAAACACATTGCTTTTGCCTGCAATGGCCTGCACTTTGTACCATGCAATGCAGTTGCCGTGCGTTTAAAAATAGTGCATGCAGTACTTTTAGTGTGGTGTGATTTCATCCCATTCAAATGAATGGGCATGAAATCGCACTGCATATGAATCGCACAGCACTTTCCTGCGCGATTCATATCCGAGCATAGTGTGAACTGATCTTAAAGCAGAGTTCCAGTTGAAAAAATAAATAAATAAATAAAAGTCAGCAGCTACAAAAATTGTAGCTGCTGACTTTTAAAATACAGAAACTCACCTGGCCCTCGGTCCGGCGGTGTAGCTTGCAGCTTCACAGCCTGGTGCGCACTGTGCATGCGCGAGAAGCACTGAGCTTTGTGAATGGCCCCATAGTCTTCTGGGACCTCTCATGTATCCCAGAAGACTATGGGGGGGGGGGGGGAGGACAACTTCCGCTTCCAATCACCTTAGGCGAACACAGTGGAAGTGGGAGCGGGTACCTGTCAAATTTTGTCACCTGCTCCCCAAGGTGCCAATCCTTAATGGCGAGCGGGTGACAAAGAGTTAAAGCGTAACTTCACCTTTTGGGAGGAGCCCTGCTTTAAGGACAAGGCTTTCTTTTTGTGAATATTGTCTTGCAAAAATTTTTTTTTTTCCCGGAATGAAACGTAACAAAACGCACTCTTTATTTGAGCAGTGTTAGTTTAAAAATAAATAGTGTTACCGCACATAAAAAGTGCAAATTTTATTCTGTAATTTGTCCTGTTTTAAAATTATGATTCTGGTACAAAGCATCGCAAAGCTATTTACAAATTAAATAAAATGTTTGGTTTTTTTTTTTCCTAATTTTCCATTTTCATGAATGTGAAATTTGTAAATATATGTTAAAGGTGTACAAATATTAACAAACAAAAAAAATTAAATAGTTTCTATTTTATTAACTAATAATATTTATTTTTTTTGTTTGTTAATATTTTGTTTGTTAATATTAACCAAAAAATCAGCAGAAAAATAATAAATGAATGGAGAAGGAGACTATGGAGTTAATTAGGGCTGAATATAATAAACTATGGGTTAATAAGGGGTTAAAGAAAGGAACTTTTAATTTAAAAAAAAAAAAAACTTTTTTTTTTTTTTTACTTCTCAGGTTGCTTTAGCTGACTTTATCTGCAAATGGAAGTTCATCCTTTTGATGTGTTGATGAATAAACAGATACACAATGAAACATTGTTTCTTATGAGAAATGCCATACTGCTTTAGTTTGACAGCTCCAGTAAGCACTTTCTCTATGTCCTCAGCACTGCCATTTTGATTAATCAGAGCTGAATTGCCAGTACTGTGACAGGGGAAGTCCTGGAAGCAGGACAGAAAGACTGGACTTCCACATGCCCTGTGTACAATGATGACACTTTTGTGGGCGTGTGTAATATGTCCAGAGTCTGCAACTAGTTACCCATGAATAATGGACCTAGAATTATTGCTTTCCCTCCAGTGCTAAGTTACACATGTGGCACAATCAACATTTTCTTGTGTAGGCACCCCCATCACATGTTCATACATTCTTGTATGGAGGGGTGATGGGCTCAAAGTTCTTTTTTTTATGGGGGGGGGGGGTTGTAGTGCTTGCTTATAGCTTACACATAGTTTATCTCTTCTGTAACAAACACCCTGTATGAATTGCAGTTTTAATAAAGTTTTTTTTTTGTAAATAATAAAAGTCATACTTACCTGCTCTGTGCAATGGTTTTGCACAGAGCAGCCCAAATCCTCTTCTTCCCGAGTCCCCCGTCTGCACTCCTGGTTGCTCCCCCTTTGACCAGTGCCCCCAATAGTAGGCTGCTTGCTATGCAGGCACTGGTGCGTGCTTGTTCCCGAGCCCCACTCTATGCGTCCATAAGACCCAGAGATGCGGCTCAGCCCTACCCCTGCTCTCTCCTCATTGGCTCACTGGCTGTGATTGACAGCAGTGGGAGCCAATGGTTCCTGCTGCTTTGTCTCAGCCCAGGAAGAGAGAGACCTGAGACAGACAAGGCTCCCGTGCACATCGTGCAGGTGAGTATTAGGCCTCTTTCACATGGACATTCCGATCGGGTCCACTTGCCCGTTTTTCAGGTGGACCAGATTGGAACCACCATTCTCCTTTATGGAGCGGTGAGTATAAATGGGCATGTGTCCATTTACACCAGCTGACATCCAATCCGATCCAACCCGCAAAAAATCCCCTTCCGTCCGTTGGATTGGAATAAAAATGCATGAAGGTAAAAACCTGCAGCCTTTACAACCACTTTAAGACACATTTAACATAACAAAGTCCACCTAAGAAAGAAAATAGACTGTCATAAACCACTAGCAAGATCTTCAAAAGACTCCTAATGAAGTTCTGTCATAAATGGCCTTGCTGTAAACAGTCTAAGCCAGGGGTCTCCAAACTTTCTAAACAAGGGCCAGTCTTTTTGACTTTGAGAGGGTCGGACTGTGGTCATTGTGAGTAGAAAAGGCAAACAATGCCCCATCATTGGTATTAGAGGGAGGAATAGTGCCCCATCATTGGTATTAGAGGGAAGAATAGTGCCCCATCAATGGTGTCAGTGGGAGGAATAGTGCCCCATCAATGGTGTCAGTGGGAGGAATAGTGCCCCATCAATGGTGTCAGTGGGAGGAATAGTGCCCCATCATTAGTATAAGTGGGTGGAATGCTTCATCCTTGGTGTCAGTGGAGGTATAGTGCCCCATTGTTGGTGTCAGTGGGAGAAATAGTGCCCAAGGGCCTGATAAAGGCAAGGAAAGGGACACATCTGTCCCCAGGCTGCAGTTTGGAGACCAGCGGTCTAAGAGATCAGTTGAGCAATACATCATCTGTGAGTTTGGTTTTTGACCTGAAACCGAACTTTCATACATTACGAATTCTCAACTCTAATTCATATTACGTAATTACAGCTATAATGGAGTTACCTTCCTAAAATGTGGTTACATTAATCAGTTAGACATCAAATATGCCAAATTTACATGGTCTAGTAGTCTGATAAGAAATATTGGAACTTTTAAGAGAAATATGTGTATGATCTATATCATATTTCATGTTAGGGATGGTCTCCAAACTGTGGCCCTTTGCTAGCCTTTATCCGGCCCTTGGTGCACTATTCCTCCCAATGCTATGAAACAGTATTCCTCCCACTGACACCAACTGATGCTGAACTGATTCCTCCCACTGGCCACACTGCGGCCCTCTTAAAGCCTGAAGGACCATAAACTGGCACTTTGTTTGAAAAGTTTGGAGACCCCTGGTCTATATGTTCGAGTCGAACATATGTTCAACTCGAACATTGGATGTTCATGTGTTCGCTGAACACACAACATCTGGGGCATTCAGTGGGCCTTTCGCCTGCGGGTCCCACAATGCAAAGCGCTATGGCGGCACATTGTTATTGGCCAAAGCATTGCACCTGACCACAGCTCCACTGCACAGCTTGGTGTCATCTGCAAAGACTGAAATGGGATTTTTAATCCCAGACCCTATATTGTTTATAAATATATTAAAAAAAGTAAGGGTCCCAACACTGAACCTTGGGGTACACCACTGACAACCCTAGACCATTCAGAGTATGAATCATTAACCACTACTCTCTGAATACGATCTTTTAGCCAGTTTTCTCTCCATTTACATACAGATTTTTCCAAGCCTGTAGACTTTACCTTACACATTAGCTGTGTGTGGGGAACTGTGCCAAATGCTTTTGCTCTGTCCAAGTATACCACGTCCACTGCCACCCCTCTGTCCAAGTATACCACGTCCACTGCCACCCCTCTGTCCAAGTATACCACGTCCACTGCCGCCCCTCTGTCCAAGTATACCATGTCCACTGCCGCCCCTCTGTCCAAGTATACCACGTCCACTGCCGCCCCTCTGTCCAAGTATACCACATCCACAGTCGCCCCTCTGTCCAAGTATACCATGTCAACCTCTACTCCTCTGTCCAAGGTTTTGCTCACCTCATAAAAAAAAATCAGATTTGTTTGACAACTTCTGTCTTTCATGAATCCATGCTGTCTGTTGCTTAAAATATTTTTCTCCAGCAAGAACTCATCTATGTGATCTTTTATTAAACTCTCCAGTATCTTCGCAACTATAGAAGTTAAACTAACAAGTCCATAATTACTTGGTAAAGATTTTGACACCTTTTTAAATATTGGCACCACATTGGCCTTACACCAATCCAGTGGTACTATGCCAGTCATTAAAGAGTCCCTAAAAAATTCAAAACAATGGCTTTGAAATGACAGAGCTCAATTCTTTAGGGACCCTTGGGTGAGTGAGTTGGCAGAGTTGGTAGACACAAGAGAAAAAAAGAGAAGAAATCCCTCCAGTAAAAGAAATGTGGGATTTTCACATGAGTTTTAGTTCCAGTAACAATGGCACAAATCCCCTTGGTGTCTTGTGATTTCTGTATCCATATCTTCTTGGTATCTTGTAGTTTTGTGCCTATATTCCCTTGGTATTGTGTAGTTTTTGGGCCCATATTGTCTTGATATCTTGCTGTTTTTGCATCCATACAGTGTCTTGTGGTTTTTGGGTCCATATCCATTTAGCATCTTGTAGTTTTCTATGACCATATTCTTAGGTGTCTTGTGCTATTTTTGCCCATATCCTCTTGGTATGTTATAGTTTTTTGTGCCTATATTCCCTTGGTATTGTGTGTGTTTTGTACCCATGTCACCTTGATGTCTTGTTTTTGCCCCCATATGGTATCTTGTGTTTTTTGTGCCCATATCCATTTTAGCATCTTGTGTTTTTAGTGCCCATATCTCCTTGGCCTATACTCCCTTGGTGGCTTAAAGTTTATGTGACCATGGCATTTTGTGTTTTTTGTGTCCATATCTGCTTATGGTACTTGCAAGCAGATTGCGCTGTTAATTGTCTATCTTCTGGCTCCAAACAGCAATAGATTATCTTTTCAATTCTTTATTTCCAATTGAATGTAAATTTGGTCAGGTCATAATCTAAAAGTGTTTTTTTTTAAATGTGGTCAATTGAAAATCAAAAATAATTGAATGTCTGATAAAAAAAATATAGAGCTTTACAAACATTCATATTGAAAAAAAAAAAAAAAAAAAAAAAAAAAATGCATGTGTGGCTAGCTGAAGGGTCTCTTGGACAATCATTCCTCTGGGACGCTTTAACGCATGTAACAGAAAGGAATGCCTTTTCTGCCTGTGCCGCAATGCATCACAGTGATGTGGAAAGTCTACATAACTATATGGATGTCTGGTTTTGGTCTGGTAAACAATGTGTGTTTTAATCTTTGCAAAAGTACAGATGTAAAAAAAATCTTTATACTATTGCAGCCATTTTATTTTGGATTTTGGCTACTCCAGCTACATTTTTCTGCTCAGTGTGTACCGACAGTGTAATAGGATATAGACTAGCGTGTGCTGCTGATGTGGCACTATAAGAACATCTGTACAATCCATCAGCAGCTGGCTCGTTGGTCTAGGGGTATGATTTTCGCTTAGGGTGCGAGAGGTCCCGGGTTCAAATCCCGGACGAGCCCAGGTTTTACTTTCCTGACCTTTACATGACTGTATTCTATACCTTTGTAACAGAAATGTCCCTTTTTCTTCTCTTACTTGGACAGCTACAAGGTGCTTGCATTCAATATAGTAGCTCCTCTCCATTTTGCCTCTTGAAAACCATTTATGACAACAAACAACACTGCTCTGCTGGTCCTTGAAAATGATCGCCAGCTGGGAGCCAGTGGTGGTAACATCCTAGCACATATGTACACCAGCGGGTGCTTGCATATACACTTTATGTTCTTGTTTACACTTATGCTGCTCTCTGATCAGTGATCCACATTCAGATCGCTCTTCAGATAGTATTTGGCAGGTGGTTAGGACGCTATCTCAAGGCGCCCCTATTCAGTTGAATGGGTCACATTCAGTTGGTGGTACTGCCTGCTGAATACAGCAGCAGGGATAATGTTTGCTGTAAGAAATGCAGCCAAAGCATATGTACTCCCCCCTGTGCTCCCTTTGCAGCATAAGGGGGAGCAGTTAAGGGGGCATTAAAAACCTCAAACACAAGTGTAAACGAGCCCTTTAACCATCAAAGGGCATTACACACTGTGTTTTTTTTAAAAGAAATATATAAGTAAATATTTGTGTCAGCATGTGTTGCATTTAAAAATGTTGTTTTTGTGAAGTGCAGGCAGGACCCTACATTCTACCTCTATCTCTCTCCAAATCAAGATGAACTATCTTCTCCTGCATTTAAGACCCACTCCATCTTTCAACTGTCACTTGGCAGAATCTCAGAGAACAACACAGTATCTGTGATTTGACAGGTAAATGACAGGGGTGGGGCTTAACCTTGACTTTAGAGAAGTCAAGACTCTGTATGCAACCTGGTCCTTGGCTGCAGGGTCCCCCATAATGTCCAGTCCTGGCACCCCTTTAATAGAGTTTGTATGCCCCAGGGGCAGGAAGGATCAGCAATCGAGTAATTTTATGAAAAAACTAAAATTGCACTAAAAACATGCGAAGGCTTAAACTTGCGCTCACTTATGAAATTGCAGGAAAAAAAAAAGTACCCAAAATTCTCCATACACAACATTTCAAAAGCCTTTACAAGTTGTTAGTTTAGAGTTAACTATGAATTATGGCCCTATAATTATTGTTCTCACTTCAGTGTTCACAACGATACCTCATGTGTGGTGCAATTAATATTTACATATGAGATGGTATCAAAATGTTTTGTAACACATCAATAGATGGCAGCACAAGGATGCGCACACAGTCACACAGAGCACCCACCTTCATAAGTCAGTGTGCCTGATCACATCTGCTATTTCATCATGGACAGCAAGTTAGAACAAAGAGCAAATGTGACATTCTTGCAGAATCATGTTAAACATCTCTGTGGCAGATTTCCCAGTTTCACGCAGAATTTCATGTTTGCGTTTGTTCATACTTGCTGTCCATGATGAAATAGCAGACGTGGTAACGCCCATGGTCAGAATAGCACCAGCTGCACAGCTCCTGATGTACACAAGATGATGTCTTTTGGCACACTGACTTATGAAGGTCGGTGCTCTCTGTGACTGTGTGCAGTTTTGTGCTGCCATCTGTTGGTGTGTTACAAACCTAGTCTCGAAGCTTTTTGATACCACCTCGTACATTTGCTGGTCTTACGCTGAGATACTTAAAAAAAAAAAAAGAGGTGTGAATGGGAAGATGGGTGCTTTAAAATGTTTTTTTCACTTTTTTGTTTCTATTCTATATATTTTTTTTTTAAATAATTTTGCTACTTTATTGCTATCACAAATGGGCTAACATGCCCCCTATGTGATAGGTAGGTACCCTTTATAGAGACATTAAGGGTCTAATAGACTCCCAATGTCTTCCGTGCCCTCCAATGCCACTATTCAAGTACAAATCAAGTATCAATAGCTGCATCCTCGGCTACACCAGCTGAAGAATGGCAACTGTGACCCCAGAAGTGACATTAGTCATAGGAGGGATCAGCGAAAAACAAGGAACCAGCTAAAATGAATAGACAGTTAAAAGATAAAATAATTGCTTTTCCTGCAATATTCAACAATAGCCTGGAGCAGGGGGTCTCCAAACTATGGCCCGCAGGCTGGATGTGGCCCTTTGCTTGCTTTTTTTCCGGCCCTTGGGGCACTTTTTCTTCCACTGATATGAAGCACTATTCCTTCCACTGACACCAATGATGGGGCGCTATTCCTCCCACTGACACCAATGATGGGCACTATTCCTCCCACTGACACCTACGATGGGGCGCTGTTCCTCCTACTGGCACCAACAATGGGGAGCTGTTCCTCCCACTGGCACCAACGACGGGGCGCTGTTCCTCCCACTGGCACCAACGACGGGGCGCTGTTCCTCCCACTGGCACCAACGACGGAGCGCTGTTCCTCCCACTGGCACCAACGATGGGGCGCTGTTCCTCCCACTGGCACCAACGATGGGGCGCTGTTCCTCCCACTGGCACCAACGATGGAGCTCTGTTCCTCCCACTGGCACCAACGATGGGGCGCTATTCCTCCCACTGGCACAAACGACGGGGCGCTGTTCCTCCCACTGACACAAACCACGGGGCGCTGTTCCTCCCACTGACACCTACAACGGAGTGCTGTTCCTCCCACTGGCACAAACGACGGAGCGCTGTTCCTTCCACTGGCACCAATGACGGAGCGCTGTTCCTCCCACTGGCACCAATGACGGAGCGCTGTTCCTCCCACTGGCACTATAGATGGGGCACTGTTTTCTCCCACTGACACAAATGACGGGGCGCTGTTCCTCCACTGGCACCAACGACGGAGCGCTGTTCCTCCCACTGGCACCAACGACGGAGCGCTGTTCCTCCCACTGGCACCAACGACGGAGCGCTGTTCCTCCCACTGGCACCAACGACGAAGCGCTGTTCCTCCCACTGGCACCAACGACGGAGCGCTGTTCCTCTTACTGGCACCAACGACGGAGCGCTGTTTCCTCCCACTGGCACCAACGACGGAGCTCTGTTCCTCCCACTGGCACCAACGACGGAGCGCTGTTCCTCCCACTGGCACCAATGACGAAGCGCTGTTCCTCCCACTGGCACCAACGACGGAGCGCTGTTCCTCTTACTGGCACCAACGACAGAGCGCTGTTCCTCCCACTGGCACCAACGACGGGGTGCTGTGGGTTGGACTAGCATTTAAATATATGAAATCCATCCGATTCGAATGTGTGCCAATTGATGATATATATTGAATATAAAGCAGTCTGCCGGAAAACCTCCAAAATGTTTTAAATCCACTCAGACCAACGAACATACAAAAAGAATGCCAAAGATACAAAGCAAATTCTGAAAACAAATATGATGAAACAAAATTCTTCAATTAACTAATTCATCCAAAATGAAAAATTTCCAGTGTCTACTATTCGGTACATTTGAAGGTTTTTTTTTTTTTGTAACAATGCTTTCATAGGTATCATATCAATATTACACACACAAAATGCAGCAGTTTTATACAGAATTTTACATTTCTTTGACAGCTACATTGTTTCCAGCTTGGATCAATGTAACTATGTATGTGCCATACCTGTGGGGTTTTCCTGCAGAAGCTGGAAATCACCGAAGTAGACATTGCTATCAGAGTGATCTCCACTCACTTCCAGGTCCCATGCTGACCGGCTGGCCTGATACCAGACATGTGCCGTTCGTATTTTGTTACAAAAGAAAAAAAAAAAAAAAATTTTTTGGATAAAAAAATTAGGTTGGGGAGGGGAGGATAGGAGAGAGAGAGTAGAACTGAGAGAGAGAGAGAGAGAGAGAGAGAGAGAGCGAGAAGAGAGAGAGAGAGAGAGAGAGAGAGAGGGGCGGGGGGATTGGGAGGGAAGAGAAAGAGGGAGGGAGAGTAGGAGGGGAGAGGAGGGTAGGGGAGAGAGGGGGAGGAGAGGGGAGGGGGAGAGAGAGACGGGGAAGGGAGGGGAGATGAGGCGAGGGGAGAGGGGGGGAGGGGGGAGGGGAGAGGGAAGGGGGGAGAGTAGGGAATGGATGGGGAGAATTTTTCTTTTTTTCTTTTTTTTCTTCTTTCTTCTTTCTTCGTTTTTTTTTCTTCTTTTTCTTTTTCTTTTCTTGTTTTTTCTCTTTTTTTTTCTTTTGTTTTTTTCCTTTTTTCTTTTTTCTTTTGTTTTCATTTTCTTCTCTCTTGCTTCTTTCATTGTTTTTCTCTCTCTTCTTTTCTCTTTCCTTCTCTTTTTTTTCTTTTTTCTTTTTTTCTCCCCTTCTTTTTTCTTTTTTTTCCCTCTTTTTCTTTTCTTCTTTTTTTCTTCTCTTTTTTTTTTCTTTCTTCCTCCTTCTTTTTCTTTCCCTTTCTTTTTCTTTCTTTGTCTTCCTTTTTTTTTCTCTTTCCTTTTTCTCTCTTTTTTTTCTTTTCTTTCTCATTTTCTTTGTTTTTTTTCTCTCTCTTTTTTCCTTGTTTTTTTTTTTTTTGCTCTTCCTTTCCTTTCTAGGGGGGTGCTCTCTTCTTTTTCTTTTTTCCCCACTCTTTTTTTTTCCTCTTTTCTTTTCCTCCTTTTCCTGTCTTTCTTTTTCTCTTCGAGCCCTTTTCTCTTTCTTTTCTTTCTTTCCCTCCCTTTTTCTTCTTTGTTTTTTTTCTTCTTTCTTCTTTCTTCTTTCTTCGTTCTTTCTTCTCTTTTCTTTCTCCCTCTCTTCTTTTCTTGGTTTCTTTTTTCTTTTCTTCTTTCTTCCTCGACCTCCTCTTTTTCTCTTGGTCACTTTCTTTTGGCCCTTCTCCCTTTTCTATTCTTTCTTTTTCTCCTTTTCTTTCCTTTTCTTTTCTTTCTTCTTTTTCCTTTTCCTTTTCTCTTTGCTTTCTGTTTTCTCACCTCCTTCCTTTTTTTTCTTTTTTCGTTTCTCTTTTTTTTTTTTTTCTTCCTTTTTTTTTCTTTTCTTCTCCTTTTCTTTTTTTCTTCCTTTTTTTTTTTTTCTTTTTTTTTTTCTTTTCTTTTCTTTTTTTCTTTTTTTCTTTTCTTTTTTGGCTTTCTTTTTTCTCTCTTTTTTTTTTGTCTCCTCTTTTTTTCTCTTTTTTTCTCTTTTTTTTTTCTCTCTCTCTTCTTTTTTTTTTTTCTCTCTTTTCTTTTTTCTTTTTCTTCTTCCTTCTTTCTTTTCTCTTTTTTTTCTTTTTTTTCCCTTTTTTTCTTTTTTTTTCTTTTTTTTTCCCCTTTTTCTTCTCTTTTTTCTCTTTTTTCTTTCTTCTTTTTTCTTCCCCTTTTTCCTTTTTTTTTTCTTTTTTTCTTTTTCTTTTTTTTTTCTTTTTTCTCTTTTTTTCTTTTTCTTTTTTTTTTTTTCTTTCTTCTTCTTTTTCTCTCTTTCCCTTTTTTTCTCCTTTTTTCCTTTTTTTTTCTTTTTTTTTTTTTTTCTTTCTCTTCTTTTTTCTTTTTTCTCTTTTTTTTTTCTTTTTTTTCTCTTTTTCTTTTTTTTTTTTTTTTTTTTTTTTTTTTTTTTTTTTTTTTTTTTTTTGTTCTTCCTTTTCTTCTTTCTTCCTTTTTTTCTTTTTTTTTTTTTCTTCTTTCTTTTTTCTTCCTCTTTTTTCTTTCTTTTTTTTTCTTTTTTTTTCTCTCTTCTTTCTTCTTTTTTTTTTTTTTTCTTACCTTTTTTCTTCTTTTCCCTCTTCTTTCCTTTTTCTTTTTTTTTTCTTTTTTCCTTTTTTTTTGGCCCTTCTTTTTTTTTTCTTTTCCCCTCGCTCTTCTCCTTTTTTTTTTCTTTTTCTTTCCTTTTTTTTTTCTTCTTTGTTTTCTTTTTTTCTTTTTTTTTCCCTTTCTTTTTTTTTTTTTTTTTTTTTTTTTTTTTTTTTTTCTTTCTTTTTTCTTTTTTTTCCTTTTCTTTCTTTTTTTTTTCCTTTCTCCTTTTATTTTTCCTTTTTCTTTCCTTTTTCTTTTTTTCTCTTTTTCTTCTTTCCTTTTTCCTTTTTTTTTCATTTTCTTTTTTTTTTTTTTTTTTTTTTTCTTTTTTTTTCCCCCCTTCTTTTTTCCTTCTCTTTTTCTTCTTCTTTTTTTTTTTTTTTTCTTTTTCTTTTTTCTCTTTTTTTTCTTTTTCTTTCTTCTCTTTCTTTTTTCTTTTTTGTTTTTTTTCTTTCCTTTTTCTTTTTTTTTTTCTTTTTCTTTTTTTTCTTTTCTTCTTTTTTTTTTTTTCCTTTTTCTTCTCTTTTTTTCTTTTTTTCTTTTTTCTTTTTTTTTTTTTTTTTTTTTTCTTTTTCTCTTTTTTTTTTCTCTCTTTTTGTCGTTTCTTCTCTTTTTTCTTTTCCCCCCCTCTTTCTTTTCTTTTTTCTCCTTTCTTTTTTTTTTCTTTCTCTTCCTCTCTTTTTTTTCTTCTCTTCGGGTTGACCCTGGGGTGGGGCAGCGTGATAACATACCTCCAGCCTGTGGTGCTACCGTGGGGGTGGGAGGCCTGTTTGATCAGGATGGGCGTAGGGGGGCAAGAGTGGAAACCCCGACCCAAGGTCACTCGTCCCAGGCAGCACGCACATTCTCCCAACCAGCGCCCCCTCCAGCAACACACACCAGATGGGCACGTCAAACCCCTCCCACCACAACAATCACGAGCACCACTCCCTACAAGTTGGGGGGTAGGGGGGGTACAGGAGTATAACTCATCAGAAATCGGGCAAAAGGGTTATCCATCCCCAGATATATAATATACAGAGCCGTCTACTGTGGATCTCCCACATCATAGGGTCAGCATGGAGTAAATGGAGCCCTACTTGGTCCAAACTTGCAGAAAACAAGTTGACCCATATGATCCTACAAAATGCTCCCAAGCTAGCCAGTGCATGCTGTGACTTGTAGTTTCCACAGCACCAGAATGGCGATACAACAGCCACAGTTCGGACTCTATGTGCACTAATGCTTCCTCTACAGCACTGGTCATGTGATAACCACGTGATAGACTCCACACGTCCTCTCAAGAGAAGCCATTTTTCATACTGGCGTATTGAATATTATTTCACCAAACCAGCCAGGGTTTTGTTATGAAAGCCATAGTCTGAGGAGCTCTGCTGCTGATATTTAGACATAGAACGCTGAAGCCAATAGAAAGCAACAGTGATAATAAGCGGAGGGTACATGGAAACTTTTTCCCCAAACAAAGATGGCCGCCGTGGTTTCAGTGCTGTTTTGTAACCTGTCTGCACGCGTGTGGAGTACAAGGTGTAGAAGGTTCGGATCATGGAGAAGAGCCCCCAAGAACACGTTACTACAGGTGAACTATGGATGTCTGTTATCTGTAATACACAGAGCAGAGTGCACAACGTGCTTTATTGGCTGGACTGCAGTAAAGTGAGGTCTGGTTTCTAGGGGCAACTGCATGTCACGCCTTAGAGCCCAGTAACAGGTCCCAGTCCGCTGTGTTGCATGTACCGCACACTGGCTAACATGCATGGTGTTACGGCAGCTCATCCATGTGAATGGGGGCACATACACAAAGTGCGTTGGTGTGTCGTCACAAGTCAGTGCACCGCCATCACACCAACGCAGTAAAGCACCGTGCGCAGTGAAGCGTGTCTTAAGGCCTCATACACACTGCCACCCCTACATTCAGGACAGCTAGACCTAGGAGTGCCAGGCCTTTGAAAGTATTGGCAACATCCCTGCTCCTCCACATTTCTTGTCCTGAATTTAGATGTTCATGTTTAGTGTTCCTAAACCCCGGACCCTGCATTCACTATTTCTGATCTGCCCACAGTAATACACACACATGGAAAATGCAATTATTGCAGTAAATATAAACTGCTAAATACTTTTTTTCTCATCAGCAATTAGAGCAGTCTTGTGACTTCAGCAGAGCACTGGTTAAAGCTTGTAGGAGGAGTTTTCTTTCTGCTCTAGGAGGCTGCAGACCCCTTTGACCTCTCTCTGGACAGTGCTGATTGGCCCTGTGCTGATCACATGCACTCTCCCAAGAAAATAAAAACCTCTAGCAATTCACACTAAACTGAGCATGTGCATGTGGCTATGGGTTTGTCTGTCTTATCAGGTGGACATTTGAACAAGAGGAGGGGCAGAGAAAACAGGATCAAATGGCCTTTTTACACAATGCAGAGGTTTAACCTTTTAGTTTCCACAGTGAGTATAACAAGCATGCTTTTACTGCATATACAGACTGATTTTTACTGTTGTGGGTTTAGTAACACTTTAAAGTGGTTGTAAACCTCAGACATGAAATATTAAACAAAGCATATCCCTCTATAGTGTGTGCTTGTCTCAATCCAGAGCACTGGCCCCATGTACACGGGACACTTCTGAACGATGGAAACTAACTGCTGGAAAACGTAGGTTAAAAAAAGTCTGTTTAGCCACATTTATGTGCGTTTGCATTTAGAAGCGTTTTTTTAAAAGTTGAGCACAGGAGTACCTCCCAAATGCACTGAAAAAGTGGTAAATTATTAACTATTTCAGACTGTTTCAGAGAAATACAGAGAGTAGAAGCAGAGACAGCAGTATGTGTTGAGATAATTAGGTGGGAGTTTTTCATTAACATTTCCTTTGTTTCCATGGGTGGGAAAGGTGTCTGGTGGAGAGAGTCATTAAGTTCACCTGGCAGGGGGTCTGCATGAGAAATTTTGAGGTGTGAATGGTCATTAACATATTTTTGTTTCCAAGGGTGGGAGAGGTCTGAGGTGTGAATTGGTCATTACAATGTGTGACAAGCTTGGTAGGAACATCCTGTGTTCAGTGTTTTGTCCAGCTGAGTACCTTGAAAATGCTTTGTATGCATTTTTCATGATGAAAAAAGGCTCTGAACAGCATTGGGAACTGGAAGAGTTAAAAAAAAAAAATTTTTTCAGATGCAAACACTTAATAAATACTAATTGCCGCGTTTAGCATTTGAAATGCTGATAGAAGTTTGCTGCTCAAAAAATGACTGTAAACTCAATGCCTGTAAACAAAGATGTGTACATGAACACATAGGAAAACATTAGGGGGAGTTCAGGGGCTGCTGAAAAAAAACCGCTGAAAAACAGCCTCCTAAACGTGCGTTTATCAGCTGCAGTGTACGTGAACCCTTATTAGTGTCATTTCTGTCTGATGCTTTGTTCCTCTGCTATCAGCATGAATCACTTCTGACAAGTTTTCCTGACACCAAGAAAAAAAGTGGGTGACAGGGGGGGAGCTCCAGCTGATTGACAGCCTCAGCTCTGTTCCTGAGATCTGTGTGGAGAGAGGTGTGTCCCTTCCCTCCAATCAGCTCTCAGAGGTCTCCTAACTGAGCCCCTGCAGAGTGTAGCTTCAGCTCTCCACCCAATCTTTTTTTGACAGCTCTCCAAGCTTTAGGCTCCATGCACTGCTGATCGATTTAATAACGCTGGCAGCGTTCGCTGTGTAAGGCCACATTAAAAACATGCATTTTTCAGCTTTTTTGCATTAGCGTTTGAGCCGTTGTTTTCATTTGTTAGCGTTTTGTTTAGCAAAAAAATTTTTTTTTTTGCTAAAAATAAAATTCCAAAAAAACACTGGTTTGCCACGTTTTACCATGTTTTTCAGCATTAGAGTGTTTTTACAGTTAAAAAACTCTGGAAACCCACTAGTTTAGGGTTTTTTTTCTGGCCAAAAACGCTGATTACAGCCTATGTGTGCATTGGACACATAGGATAACATTCTGGGGAGTTTACTGGCTGTAGAAAAAAAAAAAAGCAAAAGCCAAAAACAGCCGCTGTAAAACATCCAGTGTGTATGAGGACTTATAAATTCAGCACTTTCAATGGATGTAGAAAATACAGATAAACAGGTACTACTTGTGTAGGAGGATTTGTTTAAAATACTCTGTGTATCACCTGAAATCAGTCACTTCACTAGGTATATGTAAAGGTTTACAATCACTTTAACCGATAGGTCACACTTGGGCGTGTGCATTTGCACATGCACACCACAGATACAGCAGGGGAAAGAAGTCACTGCCCATTTTTTTTTAAAAACATACCGCTTGCAAAAATGCAGATGCTTTGCCAATGCATGGGGGTGTCATTAACCACTTTCCACCTGCCCACAGTACTTTTACTGGTACGTCACACCTGGCACATGCGTACTAGCGCGCCCCCCTGGGCTGCGAAGCAGCATGATCTTGTTTCTGGTGGGCACAGAAAGAAAGAACACTATTTGTGTGAAAAAATTATATATATATATATATATATATATATATATATATATTATTTAGGTACAGTGTTGCATGACCAAGTAATTGCCAGTTAAAGTAGCACATTGCTGAATAGCAATAAATGCCCTAGTTATGAAGGGGGTAAAACCTTCTGGAAGGCAAGTGGCTAAATGATTATAAAGAATCACTTTTTAGGGGGGCAGAGAAGAGCAGAGAGCGATGACTGACAATCACTGCTCTCTGCTCAGAGCGGCTGTGAGAACTTAGAGGTCAACGGTCATGTGATCGCTGAGTTCTCACACTTAGAGCCGGCTGGACATATGCAGCAGTGGACCCATATTAAGTATAATTGGGGGGGGGGGGCTCTTTTACCTGCTCTGTGTAATGGTTTTGCACGAAGAAGCATCAATCCTCCTCTTCTGAGGTCCCCTGCTACTGGCTCCACTACTGGTTACTTCCCCCCCTTAGCGAGCCGCTTGCTATGGGAGGCATTGTGCTCACTCCCAAGCCAGCTCTGTGTGTCCATAAACACAAAGAGCGTGGCTCAGCCCCACTCCCTCCTCACTAGCTGTGATTGACGACAGCAGGAGCCAATGGCTCCTGCTGCTGCTTTTGAGCCAATGGGGAAGGAGAGAGCTGATGCTCTTGTGCAGATCACTGAACCGAGAGGTAAATATGAGGCTCTGCAAGCAGAAGGTTTTGTTTTTTTTTTTAACCTTAAAGTGGTAATAAATTCCAGCAAAAAAAAAAAAACTGGGCCCCCGGGTGGTTTAAAGTTATATATATATATATATATATATATATATAATTTTTTTTTTTTTAACTAACATGTTATACTTAACTTGATCCTCCTGTTCTCGGGTCCCTTGCTGGTGCTCCTCGCCCCTCCTCTGCTGAGTGCCCCCAGAGCATGTAACTTTCTCTGGGGGCACCCAAGCAGGAATGCTCCTGAGCCACGGCTCTGCAGCCGTGACTTGGCCCCCTCCCGCTCCTGATTGGCTAACTGACTGTGATTGAGCCAATGGCACTCGCAGCTGCCTCAGCCAATCGGGAGTGAGAGTCCCCGTAGAGCTAAGGCTCTTGTGGACATCTCTGGTGGAATGAACCCATATAGGTCCTCTGCTTTTAAGGCCCCCTGCACGTGGAGATATCTAGCTACTGTGTGCGCATTTTGATGATTTAGTGTGCTTGGGAGGCACAGATGCAGCGTCCAGCCCAAGATGGCGGTGCCAATTGAGGGGCTCTTTAGCCGCTAGGATTGCTTTCACAAAGGAGAACATCGCCGGCTGAAAAAACAATACCGGGATGATGCCTGCAGCTGCATGCATGATCCTGGTGTAGCCACTGAAAATATGGGTATGTCATGGGGCATCAGGTGGTTAAGGCCACACATGTGCATTGTGCCTGCTTGAGTTCTGGGTCTAAAATGGGCCATACGCAGTCCGCTAATTTCATTCTAAAGCCCTTAAAATTTTGTCCACACCTGCCACATGAATGGAATCTTAAATAGGTTTCATTACAATATGTACATCTTTTTTCTGAATGAAAACCACATATTCCATTATGCTCCTAAGATTTTCATCATTATGGTCAAAAACGAACCAATTTGTTCCCACTAACCATTAAAAAAAAAAAAAAATCAATGATTCTTCTGAAAACATTTTTGAACAAAATTCCACTGGTGTATGGCTAGAATTAGGACCGCACATGCGCAATGTGGCTGGGTTGGCAAGGAATCATGGGATATTTAATTCTAAAGCAATATACCATAACAACTACAGTTGTGACATCATCCATCTGCGACAGCCAATCAGAGAAAGTAATGGGACAGCAAGTTCCAGTCCCACTGCCTGAACACAGCGCTATATCCTGTGTGTATCTGAGACTACGTACAGGATATCGTATGTACTCTCCAGCGCCTCAGGATATGCACAGCCAAAAGGGAAGCCAAGGGTACCAGGACAGCGACAACCAAAGGAAATGCTTCAGGGGTGCAGCCTCCTCAGACGGGGAAATCGGCCACTGGATAGAGAGAAAACAGGTGGCGCACACACCTAGTGCATTATCCAAGGTTTATTTGTAGGAATTAAAATCATAAAAACATACTCACAGACGAAGCAAGTATCTAAAAAGCATAGAAAAATGACAATGGCCACAACGGCAGGCAAGGTGTTCTCACTGTCAGTGCGGTCAAATGGCTGACGCGTTTCGGGGACGAATCCCTTTCATCAGAGCTGATGACCAACCTCTGATGTATGATGAATGGAAAGTAAGAGCCTTGCAGTTGAGGCATCAACAGCAAGGCTCTTACTTTCCATTCATCATACATCAGCATCAGAGGTTGGTCATCAGCTCTGAGGAAAGGGATTCGTCCCCGAAACGCGTCAGCCATTTGACCGCACTGACGGTGAGAACACCTTGCCTGCCGTTGTGGCCATTGTCATTTTTCTATGCTTTTTAGATACATGCTTCGTCTGTGAGTATGTTTTTATGATTCTTTCATTCCTACAATAAACCTTGGATAATGCACTAGGTGTGTGCGCCACCTGTTTTCTCTCTATCCTGAGACTACGTACAGTTAATAGAGTGTGTTCAGCAAGTGCATCTGTTAATGTTTTTGGGCCAGCTTGGCTGAAAGGAACTATTTGAAGGGACATGAAACATGGAGTTAGGCTTTAAAGTGAAACTAGAATTCCTATACTTTCTTCCCCTTTATCAGTGTTCACTCCCCCACTTGCCGTTCCATCTTTGCCCTAGTTTGAAATCTTCGGGGCATGTTTATTGGCCAGCCTTGGATGACATAACTCTTGTTCATGCACAAGGGAGCCGATTCATCCTAGTACCATGGCATGCCAAGAATTAGCTATGCATGCTGTAATTGGTTCCCTTTAACGTGTACTAATTTTGTTTAACACTGTTCCTTATTACTGTAAATGTATGTGATCTTTTATGTTTCAGTGACCTTGGTAGAAAGCAGTTCGAACCCTTCAGGGCTCCAGCTGGTCAGCACCTATCATACCAATCGTGTAGGAGACCCTTCCAACCTTGTGGAATTGGCCCAGCAGGTGCAGAAGGTCAGAACGCACCTTGGTTTTTTTAATGCTAGTATTAGAATAGGTTCCAGGATGTCGGTGTGTAAATGGGAGTAATCAAATCCTAAATAGCGACTGTAGATGGTACTACAACCACTAGAGGATAAAGTACAAGTCACAAGGATTGAGCTCTGCTAAGAACTTAGGGGCCTATTTAGAAAGTCAATTGTTTATTTTGCCTTAATCCTCCATATTTTATGGTTTCTCTTAGTGATTTTCTTTCCTTCCACTTGTGGTTGAAGCAAAGAAAAACCATTTCCCTATCAACTCAGTCAGTGTTGATGGGGGGGGGGGGGGGGGAATCCCTCTCTCAGCGTTATTGTGTACTGCTGGCAGTGAGGCTTCCCGGCCAGCAGAACACAATGATTACTGCTTGCTTCTATAGCCAACGGCAGCAATCTCATGTAAAAAATCCGACAGGCTGGTTATACCCAAGTCAGTCAATGGATCTACTTGGCTACAATTAGCCTACCAATAGATAGATCAAGATTTGGCTGATTCCTGCTGAACCGGTCGAGATTTGATCCATCTATGGCCATCTTAAAAAGCAACTTGAAATGCCTTGTAAAAAAAGATGAAAAGGAAGATTTTCAAGTTGAGGTTTTTGTACAATACAACTTGAACATAACATATTGTAAAACCCTTTGGAATGTGTGTGACTGGCTTTAAGGCCTCAGATTAACCATTTGACAACTGGGCTATAGCTGAATGACGGCTACAGCGCAGTTGTCCAATTCTGGGAGGGCGTCACATGACGTCCTCCCAGAACGCGCCCTCCCGCGCACCCCCAGCGGCGTGCACCTGGCGATCTCCGTGATCGCTGGGTCCTATGGACGGAGCTGATCTCATGATGTGGTAAAAGGCCAATCACAGCGGTCTTTTACCACATGATCAGCTGTGTCCAATGACACAGCAGATCATCAGGTAAATGCAGTTGCTGGTTGTAGGCTGCACTTTCCTCACGCTGTCACAGTACTGTCGATTTTATTTATTTATTTCAGGTACTTACATAGCGCAGTCAATTTACGCAGCACTTTACAAACACATCAGTCCCTAACCCGCAAGGGGGGCGTACAATCTAAAGTCCCTAACTTACATTCATACATACACATACTAGGGCCAATTTAGACAGGATCCAATTAACCTACCAGCATGTCTTTGGAGTGTGGAAGGAAACCCACGCAGTCACAGGGAGAACATGCAAACTCCAGGCAGGTGGTGCCGGGGTTTGGATTTGAACCAACGTCCCTAGTACTGCCAGGCAGAAGTGCCAACCATTTAGCCACTGTGCAACCGGCAATTGTCAGAAAAGAAATCGGCTCTGATGATCAGTGCCCAGCAGTGCCACCCACCTGTACCCTTCAGTACCACCCAGCAGTGCAGCATCATCAGCACCGCCTATCAGTGCTGCCTATTCATGCCACCTCATCAGTGCTGCTTATCAGTGCAGCCTCATCAATGCACATCAGTGAAAGAGAAAAATTACCTGTTTGCAAAATTTTATAATAGAAACAAAGAAAAAAATAAAACACCCAATGGTGATTAAATACCACCAAAAGAAAGCTCTATTTGTGTGAAAAAAAGATAGAAGTTTCATATTGGTATAGTGTTGCATTTGTCATTGTCATTCAAAGTGTGACAGCGCTGAAAGCTGAAAATTGGCCTGGGCAGGAAGGAGCTATAAGTCCCCGGTAGGCAAGTGGTTACAAAAGGCATATCCTTTCTGCAGTCTTTTTTTTCTTCTTTTCTTTCTTTTTTTAAGAAAGCAGTCATATCCTGAGTAGAAAAGTCTGTCCCCTGTCAGCATGCTCTCTGAGGAAGCCGTGTTCTCTCTGCAAAGGTCTTACATATCTGCAGCCAGAGCTCTCCAACAGCAGAGAACATGAGCTTTGCTGATTGCAGAGCTGTAGGTGTGACTCGGTAGGGGGGTGTATCAGTCCTCTGCAGAGAGACCACTATTTCCACACAAATTGCTGGCAGGGGACAGGCCTTTCTAATTAGGCTGTAGCTGTTTTGTAGGGGATACATACCATAAGACTTTGCATACTTTGTTTGGATGCACCTGAAATATGTTTAGCTACTTTAAACTGAAAACTGCACACTGATAAATAAAGTGCCTATTTCTGCTCTTCATATTTGAAGCCTCTACCACTCTCATACACACATAAGGCCACATTTTGGAAGTAAGACTAGTAATCTAAAGCATGTTTATACCATAGGCTGGTACTGCTAGGAGTAAGAGTTTAGATTACATTCAGATGAGCTTCTAATACAGTGCTCTGTGCAGACATTGTTCCATCTATGGCGGAACCCTTCTGGAGAGGCCATAGCAAGAGTAGGCAGCCGTCACTCAAAGACTAGGTCCTTAATCCCCAAACGTGAAATGTGAACTGAGTCACACACACTATTAGACCAGTCGGGTTATGAGCGCTTGGCAGGAATAACAACTACCTGAAGATGATCATTATCCAATGGGAGAAAAGTACAAACCATCTGACATTTTCAGCAAAGGCCTTTAGCAGCTACTGATATCATCATTGCACATAATGTATTGTGATAGAAATGTATTCATGATAAAGTCATTATTTATCACCTCCAGGCTGATGATTTCATAAGAGCAAATGCCTGCAACAAGCTGACGGTGATAGCGGAGCAGATCCGGGTGTTACAGGAGCAGGCGAGGAGGGTAAGTACAGAGGTGTGATGTAGACAGTTTGTAGAAATGTGTGTCTTCCCTGAATTTAAGAGGCAACTCTAGATTAAGGTGGTACAAATAATCCACAGCTAGAGTGGGGGGTGTAAGTGATGCAGCTCGTCTACAAAGCTCGAATGCCTATAGCAGGGGTCCTCAAACTACGGCCCGCGGGCCACATGCGGCCCGCCGAGGCCATTTATCCGGGCCGCCGGCAGGGGCGTATTTTTCACAAGGCCTAAGTCCGGTCCCAGTCCCACGATGATCCAGTCCAGGAAGCGCTGCTCCTTCATTCACTCCGGCCACTCCCTCACTCCTGCCGCTCAGCTCCGCCTCCTCACCGGTGTTTGGGCGCCAGAACTGTAGCTCAGGAAAGGCATACAGGCGGCCAATCACCTGCGAGGAGGCGGAGCCGAGAGGCCCAGCGAACATCGAGTGAGGGAGAGGCCAGAGTGAAGAAGGACAGCTAACAGGTAAGTGTGCCGTGCTGATGGTGCTCCTGACACCATCACTGACACCAACGATGGGGCACTATTCCCCCCACCCCCCCCGCTGACACCAACGATGGGGCACTATTCCCCCCCCCCCGCTGACACCAACGATGGGGCACTATTCCTCCCCCCCCCCCCCCCCGCTGACACCAACGATGACGCTGACACCAACGATGGGGCAACCAACGATGGGGCAGTATTCCCCCCCCCCCCCCTCCCCCTACTGACACCAACGATGGGGCAGTATTCCTCCCCCTACTGACACCAACGATGGGGCAGTATCCCCCCCCCCCCCCCCCCCTACTGACACCAACGATGGGGCAGTATTCCTCCCCCTACTGACACCAACGATGGGGCAGTATTCCCCCCCTACTGACACCAACGATGGGGCAGTATTCCTCCCCCTACTGACACCAACGATGGGGCAGTATTCCCCCCCCTACTGACACCAACGATGGGGCAGTATTCCTCCCCCCCTACTGACTACCTGACACGATGGGGCAGTATTCCTCCCCCTACTGACACCAACGATGGGGCAGTATTCCCCCTACTGACCCCTATTCCTGACACACCAACGATGGGGCAGTATTCCTCCCCCTACTGACACCAACGATGGGGCAGTATTCCTCCCCCTACTGACACCAACGATGGGGCAGTATTCCTCCCCCTACTGACACCTACTGAACGATGGGGCAGTACTCCCCCTACTGACACCAACGATGGGGCATGGGGTATTCCTCCCCCTACTGACACCAACGATGGGGCAGTATTCCTCCCCCTACTGACACCAACGATGGGGCACTATTCCTCCCCCTACTGACACCAACGATGGGGCACTATTCCTCCCCCTACTGACACCAACGATGGGGCAGTATTCCTCCCCCTACTGACACCAACGATGGGGCACTATTCCTCCCCCTACTGACACCAACGATGGGGCACTATTCCTCCCCCTACTGACACCAACGATGGGCACTATTCCTCCCCCTACTGACAACCAACGGCACACTATTCCTCCCCCTACTGACACCAACGATGGGGCACTATTCCTCCCCCTACTGACACCAACGATGGGGCACTATTCCTCCCCCTACTGACACCAACGATGGGGCACTACTATTCCTCCCCCTACTGACACCAACGATGGGGCACTATTCCTCCCCCCCCTACTGACACCAACGATGGGGCACTATTATTCCTCCCCCTCCCCCTACTGACACCAACGATGGGGCACTATTCCTCCCCTACTGACACCAACGATGGGGCACTATTCCTCCCCCTACTGACACCAACGATGGGGCAACGATGGGGCACTATTTCAACGATGGGGCACTCCCCCTACTGACACCAACGATGGGGCACTATTCCTCCCCCTACTGACACCAACGATGGGGCCCCACTATTCCTGCCCCGTACTGTATGGGGCACTAGTCCTCCCCCCTACTGACACCAACGATGGGGCACTATTTCGCTCCATAAGACTCCTGTGCTGGTGTCCGGCCCGGCCCAGTATTCCTGTTGTATGTCCGCAGTCTCTGGTCATCTCCTGTACTGTGTCCGCATTTGTTTCAGGTTTTTTTTTTAAACTATAGTCCAGCCCCACAACGGTCTGAAGGACAGTGAACTGGCCCAGTTTAAAAAGTTTGAGGACCCCTTGCCTATAGTCTACACAGTCTTCTGATGCACCCATGGAAGTAAACTTCAGAGATTTGTAATAGATTTTAGATTTCTCCAATAAGTTGGATCTGACAACCAGGGCACTTACGTAGGCCATAGATTATGACATTTTCTTTCCTTCCACTATGGGTTGTGGCAGAATTGGTTTATAACAGATTTTAGATTTCTCCAATAAGTTGGATCTGACAACCAGGGCACTTAAGCAGGCCATAGATTATGAGTTTCTTTCCTTCCACCATGGGTCGTTGTGGCTGAATTGGTTTTCCTTTTTTGATACTTTTTTTTCCTTCTATTTTCACCTGGTAATCCTGCCATTAACTCACTTCCTGTCCTAGGGTGACAACTGTAGTGAGCAGAACTGTCACCTTAGGACAGGTAGGGTGATAGCACCACATAGCACCTCCTACCCTTCCCTATAACAGGGGGAGGTGTTTTGCTGTCCATGGAGAGAATGGAACAATGCTAACTGATAACAGTCCAGAGGCAGAGAGCACATGAAGTTATCTGCTCACAAAATTTCTGTCTGGATGAATAGCTAATATTTTTTGCACTTGTTGAACAGATGCAATAAAATGCTTCCAATGCATATGTAACGGACCAAAAAAAGAGGAATTTATTTGTAGAGTTTACCATCTTTGGTAAGGTTATACTAGGTTCTCGAGGCAGGTACATCCAGGTGCCCATTAGATTGCTCAGTTTATCCTAGGAACACCCAGGGGCCCAAGTGCTCTACTAGGCAAATTTTCAAACACACAGTTGATTCCTTCCTATTGGTCAGTGAGAGACCTACCATTGTTTTAGGCAGCGCCACAGGATGACATGCAGAGAGTATGAGGTATTTAGCTGTGAGAATAACACTTTCCTTAAAACCTTGTGGGGGGGCGGCACAAAACTAGCTGGCAAGGGGATTGTGTAGTTGGAGCCTCTGGTAGCCTAAACTGAGAAGCAAGTTTTGCAGGGAGATGGTCTCCAGTGGACCACTTCACAGTTAAGCTGGCCATAGATGGATCAAATCTTGGCCAGTTCAGCAGGGCCTGGATCCATCTGTTGGTAGGCTGACTGTGCTAAAGTTGATTTTGGTTAGTGTTGATGGGGGGGGGGTCGGTCGGTCAAATGATTTGCTGGAAGAAAAGAAAATCAAGTCATCCAAGGCTCGCCTTATACTGTGCTTTTTCACTGGTCAGTTAGAATTTGTGGGTCTTATTAGGAATTAAAAAAAATGATTATATATATAAAAAAATCTCCTGACAGGTTTTTTTGCCATGTCCCATTGTAGAGATTTCCCTTTACTTCCTTTCCCAGTCGCAACAGGAAGTTGTCTCCAAAGTGAGGGACATCCCCTTTTATGCAGTTGTCGCCAGAACTAGTGTTCTAATTGGAAGATCTCTCCTGTTCTGGTGACAACTGAAACTAAGTTTTTCTTTCACTTTTATTCTCAGTGATAAGGGTCACAGAATTATTAGAGAGGGTGAATCTTTACACACACACACACACACGTTATACTTACCTGCTCTGTGCAGGGGTTTTGCACAGAGCAGCCCCCTCTTCTCGGATGTCCTGTCAGCATTCCTGGCCCCCTCCCCCTTGCCAAGTGCCTCCAAAACAGGCTCGCTCCAGAACCACAGCTCTGCTTGTTTATTCACACTCAGAGCCGTGGCTCAGCCCTGCCACCTTCTCTCTCCTCATTGTCTCATTTCTTCTTCTTGACAGCTGTGGGAGCCAATGGCTTTTGCTGCTGTCGCAGCCAATGAGGAGGGAGAGTTCCCAAAGAGCCGAGGCTCTTGTGCACAAGGCTGGAGCGCGATGGAACTCAGGCAAGTATTAGGGGGGCTGCTGCACACAGAAGGTTTTTCACCTTCATGCACAGTATGCATGAAGAAAAAAAAATTTTTTTGCGCCTTTACAAGCACTTTAATTCCAAAGTCAGGATCAGAAAGGCAACACAAAATAGTATTTTCTGTATATCAAAGGTAAGTAGGCATTATCTGGTGCTTCTCACATGCAGAAATACACTGTATTGCCAAAAGTATTGCGCCAGCACTCCAACATCATTGGATTCAGGTGTTCCAATCACCTCCATGGCCACAGGTGGTATTATAACAAAGTGGAAGCAACTGGGAACAACAGCAACTCAGCCACAAAGTGATAGGCCATGTAAAAACGATAGAGCGGGGTCAGTGCATGCTGAAGCGCACAGTGTGCAGAAGTCGGCAATTGTCTGCAGATTCAACAGCTAAAGACCTCCAAACTTCATGTAAAACATCAGATTAGCACAACAGTGCGTAGAGATCTTCATGGAATGGGTTCCCATGGCCGAGCAGCTGCATCCAAGCTTTATATCACCAAGTGCAATGCAAACGTCGGATGCCGTGGTATAACGCATGCTGCCACTGGACTGTAGAGCAGTGGAGACGTGTTCTCTGGAGTGATGAATTACGCTTCTCTGTCTGGCAATCCGATGGATGTGTCTGGGTTTGGCGGTTACCAGAACAGTACTTGCCTGACTGCATTGTGCCAATGTGTAAAGTTTGGTGGAGGGGGGATTATAGTGTTGGGTTGTTTTTCAGGGGTTGGGCTTGGCCCCTTAGTTCTAGGGAAGGGAACTCTTATGAAGTCAGCATATCAAGATATTTTGGACAATTTCAGGCTCCCACTTTGTGGGAATAGTTTTGGGATGGCCCCTTCCTGTTCCAACATGACTGCGCACCAGTACACAAAGCAAGGTCCATAAAGACATGGATGAGCGATTTTGTGGTGGTGGAACTTGACTGGCCTGCACAGAGTCCTGACCTCAACCTGATAGAACACCTTTGGGACAAATTAGAGTGAAGACTGTGAGCCCGGCCATCTCCGGCATCAGTGCCTGACCTCACAAATGTGCTTCTGGAAGAATGGTCAAACATTCCCATAGACACACCCTCCTAAAGCTTTTGAACAGCCTTCCCAGAAGAGTAGCAGCTGTTATAGCTGCAAAGAGTGGGCCAACTCAACATTGAACCCTACGGACTAAAACTGGGATGCCATTAAAGTTAATTTGCGTAAAAAGGCAGGCATCCCAATACTTGGCAATATAGTGTATATATTAGGGAGGACAGATCATGTTCTAGGGTCGAATCCCAATCACGGCACTACCTGCATAGAGTCTGAATGCTCTCCCTGTGCCTGCGTGGGTTTCCTCTCACACTCCAAAGACATGCTGGTAGGTGAATTGGCTCCTGTCTAAATTGGCCCTAGTATGTGTATGTATGAATATGTTAGGGACCTTAGATTGTACGTTCCTTGAAGGTTAGGGACTGATGTGAATGTACAATATATGTAATGCGCTGTGTAAATTGATGGCGCTATACAAGTACCTGTAATAAATATGTAGTGTGTTAAGATGTGCATTACAACATGCACATTGAACTGGTTTCACTGGTTCACATTTATATATAGATTCCAGAATATTTTGCCTTGTATGCTCAATGAACTGACCACAGGAAGTATATTAAAATCGATCTTACCCAATTAATTGTCTCCATTGTACACAGGTATTGGAAGATGCCAAGAGAGATGCAGATTTACACCATGCAGCTTGTAATGTGGTAAAGAAACCTGGAAATATCTATTACTTGTATAAACGAGAAAGTGGGCAGAGGTACTTTTCCATTCTCTCACCAAAGGTAAGACCAATGGGCTTTCACCGTTTATTCAAAATCCACTCCTAGACCATGAGGAGTGGTCAGATCATTCTCTGGCAATGGGTTCACAAACACTGGGCTTGGCTGAGTGTCATGTATACTTCTATTTGGAGGGGATGAATGAGGCTGACAGTGTTTGTCCTGTTGCTTGTCTGCTTCTCAGTGGGATTAAGGCTTCCTGAAAAGAGGAGATTGTGGCCTAATTTGTCCAGATCGGGAGATTGTCACCTATTGGTGCTCAAAAACTAAATTCACATAGCATAATCTACTCTCATCCACACACACTGACAAAAAAAAAGAAACAAGGTAAAAAAGAGCATTCATAGATAGTCACTGACCTGACGCAAACATAGATGGCAGATCAGACATGACCTGCTGGATTCCTTTTCCAAGTCAATCATTCACTAGGTAGTGAAACCAACATCAGGATGAGAGCATCGTACCTGCACCTTTTAAAAACAATTTAGCCAAGGTACCTCCCATTTTTCTACCTTCACGTTTCCCTTTAGTCTGATATTAAAGCAATCTATATCATTCCTTCTGCTATCCCATTTAACAGTACTTGTTCTTAAAGTGTTACTAGACCCACAACAGCAAAATCAGTCTGTATATGTAGTAAAGCATGCTTGTTATACTCACTGTGGAAACTGTTTAAAAAATTTGTTTCATCCTGACTTCTTTGATCCTCCCCTTCCAGTGTCTCCCTCTTATCTCCTGATAAGACATCACTCTGCCCATGCTCAGTTTAGTGTGTATTGCTAGAGAGGTTTCTTTTTTTTTTTTTCTTGGAAGAGTGCATGTCAACAGCACAGGGCCAATCGGCACTATCCAGAGGTCAGGGGTTTTGCATCTTCCTAGAGTAGAAAGAAAACTCCTCCTACAAGCTTTAAACTATGCTCTGCTGGACAGTAATAGAAGTTACGAGACTGATCTAACTGCTGATGAGAAAAGGTATTTAGCAGTTTTTATTTACTAAAATAATTGCACTTCCATGTTGTGTGTACTGTGGGGGACCAGATATAGTGAATGCAGGGTCCGGGGTTTAGTAACACTTTAAAAGATGTTGTAATCTCTGTATTGCTTCCACTCTTTTGTCACATCTCTCTAGCAGTCCCTATGTAGCAGCTGTGAAAATTGAGGCTAGTAGGGTAAACTCAGACCTTTATGGGTTAAGTTGGTTCTTACACAGTCTGCCTTGATACAATAATATTACCCTACCTTTGTCAGTTGACTGGAACTATACATTTTTTTTTCTATTGGCCAAGGTTGGCTAGTAGAAAAAAATAATTTGAGACTATAAGGAAAAGAATTATAGATGCTAAAAGTAAATAATGATAAAGTGGATTTTTACATTACATTTTCACAGCTGCTCTCTAGGTATTGCTAGAGAGTCATGACATGAGAAAGGGAGTAAAAAGCAGCTTTATGCACAGGTACTCTTAGATGGAATAACAAAAGAAATAGTATGTCCCTTGAGGACAGGTCCAAAAATTAGTGCTGCTTGTATGCCAAGCCTCTTTATTTTAGAATAGACTGGTGGGGTGCTAGAACCCTTGTTTACTGCTGCAGAGATGTGTGTCCTAGTGACCATTGTGTATGGTAAAGAAAGATAGCAAATCCAAAGTTGTCATAGGAATAGAGGGTGAGGAGGAAGCCCCCAGAGCAGACCAAGGCAGTAAAATATAGATGGGTTTTTAACCATTCCATACTCTTGTTAAAAATTATACAATTTTTGACTGAATATATAACTAAATAATTTTTTAGTACCTGCTTAGAATAAAAGCTGAATTCCATGAGTCTGTGAGAGAGGAGAGAAGCACAGAAAGCAGCTATGCCATTCCCTCCCCTGTGCTGCCCATTCACAGAAGCCTTTGTATTTTGTGAATGAGTTCACACAATAGAAAGGCTTCTGTGACTGGACGGGCATAGTAGCTGCATGGACTCTTTAAGGGGCTGTGACCAGCAGAGTCCAGCATGGGAGCTCTGGAAGCTATGCTTCTGGAGCACAAATAACCTGTCAGAAATAATAGACAAGCCCAGGAGGTAGCAGGCACCTGGTTGAACTTAAAGCAGAGGTCCAGTCAAAATAAAAAAAATAAATAGAAGTCAGCAGCTACAAAGACTGTAGTTGCTGACTTTTAAAAACCAGACACTCTCCTGTGCCACGATGCCTTAGTGTGCACACCTGTCCTGTGTCCCTGGTGCTGGCATCTTCATTGTGGGCACCTGGCTGTGACAGCTCGCAGCTTCACAGGCAGGTGCCCACTACGCATGCGTGAGTGGCGCTGCATTTTGTGAATGGTCCCCGTAGTCTTCTGGGACCTGTCACCTGTCCTAGAAGACTGCGGGGAGGACAACTTCCACTTCTGTTCACCTATGTGATCACAGTGGAAGTGGGAGCGGAACAGGTACCTGTCAAATTTCGGGTAACCCCCTCCCCCAGCTCCCCAAAGGTGCCATTCCTTAACGGGGAGCAAGCCTTAAAGCGGAACTTCCCCTTTTGGTTGGCGCTCCGCTTTAACTCATGAGTGCCTTCACTTTTTAAAACGTTGCTGAAACTCCTGGAATTGAGCTTCAATGCTGATAAATTCTAAAACCTGATACAAGTTGCAGCTTAGCAACCTAGTTAAGCACAACTCCAGCTGAAACTTTTTATTTAAGTTTGGCCAGAGTAGGAAGTCTTTTTGTTGCTTCCAATTTTCCCTCACGGTCTGTGTTTTTAAAAAAAAAAAAAACAAAAAACAGAATTTTGCTTAAAGCAGAGCTCCACCCAAATGGGAAGTTCCACTTCAAGTACAGGTCCCCGTGAGGAATTGGCACCTTTGGGGAGCTAGTACCTGATTTTGATAGATTTCCACTTCCACTGCGACCACCTGAGCAATCAAAAGCAGAAGTTGTCTCTCTTCCCCTCAGTCTTCTGGGACATGAGACAGGATCACAAAGTGCAGCGCTACTCCAGTTTGGTAGCTGCTGACGTATTTTTTCAGCTTTGACTGGAGATCCACTTTAAAGTAGAATTTTAGGCAAAACTTTTTTTTTTTTTTTCCATTTTGGATAAAGCAAGGGAGGGTTATAATCCCTGTCAGATTTTTTTTTTTTTTCATTGCAGAGATTTCCCTTCATGGTCTGTCCCATAGCCAGACAGAACGTGAGGGGAAATCCATGCAAATTAAGGGATTTCCTTGGAAAAGATTTCCCTTCTAAAAGAAAATCACAAATTTTGGGTTGTCTTCAGAAAAGTAATACTTTCACCACCAGTGATAATGGTTAGGCTTAGAATGGGGTGCGAGTAGGTTTAGCCTTAGTTAGATTTTGACTGAATTTCCACTTTAAGCTTTTCTTTTTTTTAAACGCAATAACATTTTTCCTTCTTCACACAGGAATGGGGAAAGAGCTGTCCACATGAATTCATTGCTGCATACAAGCTTCAGCATGACATGTCCTGGACGCCCTTTGAGGAAATCGGAAAGCGGGATGTAGAAATTAATATAATTGATAAACTATTAAATGATCAGATTGCACTTCCATCATCAGCAGAACCCAACTTTAGAGGACTCACTAATTAATGTTTGGCAAATGCTTTGCGTCCCAGTGTGCTCAGTGGACATTCTGTCATCCTGCTGTATGAACAGTTCTAATCAGCAAGGAAATTGCATTCTCTTAATTTACAATAATTGGCTGTATGTAATTAAATTTGGTGTCGGTTGCTCATGCACTTGTATCATTTAAGCAGTTGTGCCTTTTTTATCCTTCCAATTATAAATAATGTTCTGTGATTATTTTTACTCTTCACAAAGTAGCTTGACTGTTGCAGTTTGTTTTATAATATTCAAAAGAAAATACAGTGGGGGAATTTACTATGACTGAAATGGACAGAATTTGGAGCTGCTGTTCATGGTAACCAATTAATGTCTGTCTTCAGCTTGTTCGGTAAAACTTTGAAAATGAAAGATATAAGCTGATTGGCTGTCATACACAGCTGCTCCACTCTTAGGCTGGCCATACACTATACAATTTTCTTTAGATTTACCAAATACCATATAATAGGAGGTCAAGTCAAAAACAACACTTTCAGTTGTATCCAATTAGGCAGGCCCTTGCACTACACAGTTGAAGGTAAATCTAAAGGAAATTGGACAGAAAATTGTATAGTGTATGGCCAGCCTTAGTAAATTCTTCTCAATGCATTCTTAGAAGGAAGGTACACATTTTGATCTGATTACCTGACATCCTACATCTTCCACATGTCAAAGTTTAAATAAAGGCTAATGTAATATAAGCCGGCCATAGATGGATCAAATCTTAGCCAGTTCAGCAGGGACCAGCAGAGATTCTATCTATCTATGGGCAGCTGGTTGCACTGAAGTTGATCCATTGATCGACTTGGTTACAACCAGGTTTAAAACAGTGCTTTCCCTCTCCTCATACCCATGCTGCATACTCTTTTTAAAATAGAGCTGCATACCTGTATGTGATTGCATACAACATTTTAACCACTGCCCGCCCCTATAGTAATATGAGGGATGCAAGGTGGGTCTCTCGTTCTGGAAAGACGTCATATGACGTCCTCCCATTCTAACCATGCATGCGTGGCTCCTGGAGCGTGCAAGTGCTGCGATCGGCGCGGTGTGCTGTGTCCCTCGGACGCAGCGGATCACTGATCCACGGAAAGAGCCAAAGATGCCGGCTCGGTCATGTGATCAGCTTTGTCCAATCACAGCTGATCACATGTAAACAGGGAAATGCCGGTTAGCAGCATTTCTCTCCTCTCGAGCTGTCTGCTGACAGCTCGAGAGGAGAGCCGGTAATCGGCATTTGGCGGAGGGGACATGTACACTGACCATCAGAGCACTGATGATCAGTGTGCCCTGATGATCAGTGTAGTCCCAGCAGTGCCACCTGTCAGTGTCCATCAGTGCACATCAATGCCACATAGTGCCCATCTGAGCTGCCTTTCAGTGTCACCCATTAGTGCCACCTATCAGTGTCATATCAGTGCAGCCTTTCAGTGCCCATCACTGCATCCTCATTAGCGCACATCACTGAAGGGAGAAAAAGCACTTATTTACAAAATTTTATAACAAAAACTAAGAAAAAAATTGTTTTTCAAAATTTTCAGTGGTTTTTTTTAAGAAAAAAAACTCATAGTTGATTAAATACCACCAAAATAAAGCTCTGTCACAAAAAAATGATAAAAATGTCATATGGTTACAGTGTTGCATGACCGCGCAATTGTCATTCAAAGTGCAACAGCGCTGGAAATTGGCCTGGGCAGGAAGGGGGTATAAGTTCCCTGTAGGCTTCAGGTTAAACATAAATTCTATTAGCTTTCACTTCCACTTTAACTTCTTGTTCCATGCTTTGCTTATCTTATATACAGAATTGAAAAGGATCTCCGTAGTCGCCATTGATATGTTGATAAATGCGGTTAACATCCTTGACTAAGGTTTTGCAAGCACCTCTCATGCCAGCAAAAAGAATCTGCTGATCTTTGCTGCTGGAATCCAGTGCATGCAGGTAAACGCCTGTGTGAAAGAAGCCTAATACATGCACATTTTTTATGTTTAGTTTTTTCTCAATTGCTGAAACTATGACATAATAACTGATGATCATGACAAAAATCCAGTGAGCACCAAATTTCCTGTTTGAACGACACAGTGCCTCTGCTGTAATGAAATTCTAAAGTGACGTCTGATTTTTCCACTGCTGGATTACAGAGCACCTTGCCTTATCCTCATAATATCAGAAAAGGTGCATGCATTGCAGAGGTGGTTTTTTTTTTTTCTTCACCTAGACATACACTTTTAGGACTGCCGAAATAAGCTCAATTGATCTTCTAGAGCATCTGCTGTATTCACATATATAGACCAGACCTGACAGTTGCACTAAGCAATAGAAACAGCTAAGACCTCATTCACACTGGCACATTGAAGTGATCTGGAAACTATAAACAACTTTCATGCCTCCCAGATAGTTTTTTTTTTTTTTTTCCCGTGTTTAAATGTTCTTGCTTTTTTTTTACTTCACTAACAGATGCAGCGGCTGTTAGCATTGTATAAACTGTATGTAGCCTCAGCTATATACGGTGCTGTATTCTGACAGCAGGACAAGAACTGCCTATCCTGCTCCCGGAGCAAAATCAAGTGTTGCTCAGCCATTCACAGGAAGCTCTGTATTCTATGAAAGAGTAGAACGCTTCCTCTGATTGGCTGAGTCACACACAACATCATCCATCTGCTGGACCTTAGCCAGTCAGATGAAGCTGAGGTGCTGGGGCCAAGCCCCAGTCTGTCTCCAATGGACACACAGAGCTGGACCTGGGGAGCGAGCATACACTAGTGCCCCCATAGCAAGCGGCTTGCTATGGGGACACAGCGGGGGGGGGGGGGGGGAGCCAGCAGGGGCATCAAGAGGAGCCTCAGGGTTGCTCTTTCCAAAACCATTGCAGAGCAGGTAAGTAGAACATGTTTATTAAAAAAAAAAAAAAAAAAAAAAAAAACCTTTGCTATCGCTTTAACTGCTGATGTATACCAATCAGCCATACTTTACTACCTACCTGATATTTAGTAGGTACCACTTTTGCCACAACAGCCCTGACCCATCAAGGCATAAACACCAGTAGACCTCTGAAGGGTAAGCTCTGGTATCTGCCCCCAAGCTGTCAGTAGCAGATCCTTTAATTCTTGTAGGTTGTGATATGGGACCTCCATACAGCAGACTTGCTTTTCTAGCACATCCCACAGAAGCTCAATGGATTGAGATCTGAAGAATTTGGAGGCCAAGCGAACACCTCAAACTTGTTATTATGCTCCTCAAATTATTTTTGCATTGTGGCATAGCACATTAGCCTGCTAAAAAAAGCAACTGCCATCAGGAAATACATTTTCCAAAAAGGAGTGTACTTTACCCACAACAATGTTTAGGTAGCACATATCAAGTAACATCCACATGAATGGCAGGACCAAGGTCTCCCAGCAGGACCAAGGTCTCCCAGCAGAACACTGCCCCACTGCCCAAAGCATCACATTGCCTCCGCTGGCTTGTCTTCTTCCCATATTGCATCCTGACGCCATCTCTTCCCCAGTTAAGTGAGCACACACAGAATCATCCACATGATGTTAAAGAGAACACGACAGTCACCACACTCTGCTCAGAGGGGAGAATTAGGTGATTAGTGGTGTTTAATTGCTCCCTAGGTGATTGTAAATTATTTTTTTTTTAAACCATTTTTTTTTAAAGTGATTCTAACAAAAATAATGGTTTTTGGGTCCCCTGCTGAGTGCCCCCAATAGCAAGCTGCTTGCTTATGGCAGCACTTGAGGCTCGCTCCCGAGTCGTGCTCTATGGCCATTCACATGCAGAATGCTACTTGGCCCCCCCCCAACTCTCTCATTGGCCCTTCTGGCTGTGATATACAGCAGCAGGAGGCAATGCGTATAGGTAGACCCGGGAGAACCGTTGCTCTCATGCACATCACTGGATTGAGATGGTGCTCAGGTAAGTATAAAGGGGGGTGGGGAGGGGGGGGAGCTGCCCAAAAAGGTTTTTTACCATTACGGTAAAAAAAAAAAAAAAACTTTGAGCCTCTAGAACCACTTTAAAGCACTACTAAATCCCAAACATGACATCCATACTAGCATTCATGCAGTACCTCTTTTATAGTTCTCAGAACTACTGACTTTACCTTCTTCTGAACAGGATGCTTGCCATCGCTTTGACACATTGTGGAATCCAGGTTTCTCAGTGGAGGATCTGATTCCCCGCTAAGCAAAGTGGCCAGATGACAGGTTTATGTCTGCTCCATTTACACCCAACTGCCCTTCGTCCGATCCTCCTAGATGGAGGGGAAAGGATCCCCTTCTGGGTTTTTTTTTTTAGCGATAGGATTGGAGGTTGGTGGGTGTAAACGGAGTTGTGGGTGCTAGACCACAGGAAAACATGGACCATCTGCTCAGGTCTGCCTGAAACACTAACGGGTAGACATGATTGCTTGTGTGAAGGGGCCTTAAACAATTGTTCCGTAATTATTTCTGCTTTTGTAAAAATGTATCAAAACAGTTCCCACGAAGTTCAAACAAAGGCCCTTATTTTCTTCTATTAAGCGGACCACTAAAACAGCTCAGCTCTATCTCCCACCGTCAAAATCTCACACTCCAGTTATCCCCATGTGAGAGAACTAGTAATTGAGAGATAGTTGAACTGAAATGCCCAACAAGTCTTCTCAGATGTAATAAGAAGAAACGACCGTAATTTTAGGGATCCAAGTGTACTCACAATCTTATGTCCGGCTTATAACAATGACCAGGGTATTGTAAAGTCCATGATACACTGTACCAGTGTCTGGGACTATCACACTCTCCAGCTCCTTCACCTTCCAAGCCTCACAATGGGAACCCTCCGACTGGCCTGCATAGTCCGTACCATGGGAGGTTCTCCAGCGCTGCTCACTCCTCTAGGCCAATCATGCAGTTGTAGTACTCCAATTCTAATACGGTATTCTACAACTCACCTGACCATAGTTTTGGTGGCTGCAATTATATTCTTTTATCAGGCATTTTCCCCTTTA